TTCGAGTAACTCTTAAATAATACTACTAATAAATGAAATACTAAAAATAACTATTATTCACACCGAGGGTCTATAATAAATTCCGTTCTTAATATTGCTTTATGATCTTGTTCCATTTCAATCATAAAAATAACAACCTTCCTATAGAGATAAGTGCTTACTTTTATGAAATAATTATAAATTAAGCTATGTACTTTATGAGCATATTAATTTAATAAACTTTAATGTGGTCATCAAAATAACTTAAGATGCTATGACTATTATTAAGTCAATCGACACTATCATCTCAACATTTATTGTTTTAATATCAACTAAAAAAATTATGTTGATACCAAAATGATGATGTAAATTGCATCATGATTTTTTTAATACAAATAATTTCAATGATTTAGGACCTAAAAGCTACATAAGTGGTTCAAAATGAGACTCGTTTGCATTAAAACTTCAAAGAAGATCTAACTTTAATCTTAAATTTACCCATCATTGTTAACTTTATTTAGATTCCGTAACTCGTTAGATACTAAGAAAATGATTAATAGATTGATAGGAATAAAGGCCTAAAATGAAGGATCATGCATCTTATTGAGGTGCAAAATAAAATAAAAAAATTTCTTCATCTAAGGCTTCCAAAATTAAGCCGTTGAATCAACTAATCATACATAAATGAATTAAAACATAAGTAAAGGATTACCTATTGTAGCGTAAAATTTAACCTCGTAAAAAAGGATCCGTTTAAGTGTCCGATTCGTATTGATAATCCACACGGTCCAAGCACCCACACAAGAAACACTCGAAGTATTAGAGTGCTAGCTCTATATTTTTTTGCCTTGTTTAGTGTTTTCTCTTTATAAATTTATTCGGGGATATTTTGTAATAAATCTAAGAGAGATGGAGGGAGGTGGCATGTGTAAAAGAAAGGTGAAAACTATTTTCTATTTATTTTTCTCCTAATCGCGTATGCCCTAGCCTTTTTTTTTATTTGAATGCTTAAACTTATGCGTGTGACTCAATAAGCTCCTAGATATGTTAGCAATATATCAAAAATAAAATATACCTCTTTTATCTATTAATACATAAATCAAGATTAGCTTTTAGCAAGACATCATGACTACCCAATTCTCTATGAGGATTGATTAATCTGTAATTACCTTTAATGATTATGGTTACCATACAACTTAGCCCTTATGTCAATTTATCATAGTGTGATCTCGAGCTTAGTTTTTAGTTTATTCGATTATGATCATATAAGTTTTCTTTGATTCTTAAATGTCATAACTCTTAGAGAAAACCAAATATGCTCTATTAGTGTACTCCTATTATGGTCACAGATTTCTTAAGTGAATATTCATCGAAGTGTCATGTGATAACTTTTTTAGCATACAAGAAATTACATATCTTATCTTAGTCATCCCCCAATCTCCATTAGATTCCTAGTGCACCCAATGAATTACCCACGTACAACTCTTTACTAGGTCCATTGAAATGAGTGTTAAAGTACATAAATCTTCTAATGAGATAAATGTGATGACTTCAAGTCAAAGGAACAGTTGTACCCATCTTGTATGAGATTCCTATAGACTAAATCAAATGGGTTCTCATGGTAAATCAAGTTCGGTAATATGTTATCTAACATAAATTAACTAAGTGCTTGCTTTGGATTCACGATGCCAATAGATATGAGATCTCCTATCGATATCTTACGAGCATGAGTATAACACTCATAAGTCTAACCACATATGGTCAATGTCCATTTTTGACAATGCTACGACTTGGGACATTTAATGATATCATTTAAGTGCATTAATGTTTGTCTCACATTTCTTGGTCAATCATTAATCCAAATGCATATCATATGGATTTCTATCTAATTCTATTCAATAAATAAATATAAATAATAAGAATTAATAAAAAAAAACTTCTTTTATTATTAATAAAATAACTAATATAGTGCTACAATAACTCAAATCATCCAATTAAGGTTGGATATTGGGCACCTACATTAACACAAAAAACTATTGAAAACAATTAAGTCGATGGATCTACTAATGAAACATAACATAAGAAGGTTATCGAAAGTTGCATGAACAATAATTTCTTATTTCCATGTCAAGATCATTTACGAGACAACTTATATAATGATACATGAACTCGAATATGATACGCGACAAGTAAGATGACATGATTGAGTATCCTAATAGCATGCTTAATTTATCTAGAAACAATTAATTGCAAAAATCTAATATAATTAATTTAAAACAAACTATGCATAAATCAATACATTAAGAAAATAGCTACGATACAACATGTTAGATAAATTAAATATACCCAAACATATAAGTTGTAATAGAAATTAATAAGACACATACCTCCTCTCATTATTGATTAAGCACTCTAGCAATTGTCAAAGCAAAATTGATGTGGTCAAAGAGAAAGAACATTTTAGTTTATGTCAATCCTTAAGGATTTCTATCTGTTAATGGATGACACAAAATTTAACTTAATATTTATATAGATAGACTAAATACTATTTCTTTAATCCGATTGTGCACTCGTCATCCATTATGAATGTGCTTAACCCCCACTAAAATTCAATAGGTGTTAAATCTTTAACTGTCATTTATAAATTTAAAACAAGACATGACATGGACCACACTAAAAAAATATTCAATAGAAAAAATAATCAAAGTTTAGGAACTCAAATTGTATTTTTTCTTTAAATTTTTTTGTTAATAATTCTAATGGGATCTATTTTTTGCCACTTATTAGTTAAAAATTACCATGTAATAGTCCGTTCCGAACACATCAGTCTCAGATGATTATAAGCACTTAAATAGAGAAAAAAAATCAAAATTTATATGGTCAAATAAAATGATTTATGGATGGGATACTCAAATAAAAAAAATAAAAAAATTAGCATTCAAATTGCAATTTTCTAAAAAAAGGTATGCTAAAGCATATAGGTAGAATAAAATCTAATAATTGTAACATTGAGATAAAAGAGGGGAAGAGGGCAAGTGGCAGTGTGGTCCATGAAGGAGTAGTGTTTTAGAAGTGCTTTTGTGGTCCATGAAGAAAGCCTAATTTGAGGGAGATAACACGAAGTGGGAAAATGCCAAATAGTGGGCTACCCATCCAATTTTTTTAGCACATTCCTCCTCCTACTAAAAGTTTCAAAAAAACCCAAAAGTCGAACTTGCATCAATGAACCCAAATGACATGATGTCTTCACTCTCAAATCTTGTCACTTTGTTCAAAGATAAGAGCATCTCGTGGAAGTATTTATTGAAGATAACTTGATTATCAAACATTGATGAATCACTTTTGAGTACTAGTACATGATTTAGCATTTCTTTTGGGAGTCACTTTTTGCCAAATTCCCCCTCTATAATTGCCCGAAGTTGATACCATTTTCCTCTTTAATTTTGCACTGTCAACTTCACCCGACAAGTGCTCCTCTGAAAGGTATAGATGGAAGTAGTACAAAATAGAAGTCTCTAACAAGCAACACATACATGTTTCATCATAATTATTGGATAAGGCAATCGCATCTTTGGTTGGGGCAGTACAGCAACCTTTGTCACGCGTAATGGAACTATACACTTCCATGTCCATGAATTGTATAGGTTTTTAGACCTTTTTTTCATGTTTATTTCATTAGTCTTAGGTAACCCGTGTCCATGAGTTGGCCGAACGATTAAATACATTTTTTTTAATTTAATTTTAAATCGTAATTTAAAAAAAAATATTTGGTCGATAGGGCAGATATATTTTTAAGATTGATAAAAAAAATAATTTCAATTAATATAAAAACTGATTTAAAAATTAAAAAAAAAAAGTCTCAGGCAACTTGACACAGTAAGAGTTTGTGGCTACTGTTGGTTGTCTATTGTCCGTACTATATTCCTTAAAGGGTTGAAAAGGCCATGTGTTGTTCGGGTAATCTTGGCCCCCCTTGATCAGTGTATGAAATTAACTTTCGAAAATTTCTCCTTCACCCTCGAACTGTCAGTTCACTGGCGAACCAGATACCTATCCGTTTACTTTACCGTTTCATTGCAAATTTTGGAGCATGTTATTTTATATAAAAACTAGCATTTTATGCAAGCTATCTCACCAATGGGATATAATATATAAAATAATTTTAAAAATTAATTTTATTTTAATAGTACCTGTTATATTATGAATCTATTAAAATATAACAAATCAAAAATAAAAAAAATATTATTTTTTTAACTATATGTTTAACTAATTATTCATTACTTTTTTTTATAAATTTTCTGTTAAAAAGAACATCATTTATTCTTCTAGATCTATATTATTAACTAAAACCTTTTCTTATAATTTTTTTAAAAAAATCCAAGATAAATTATTTAAAAATATTTTTAATCTTTACATTAAATTTATATATATTGTAAATTATTTAAAAAAACTGAGATACCATATGTGTGTGAGTGTATGCGCGCGCACTTCTATCATTTAAAAATTTTAAAAATTCATTATATAAATTATATCAAAAAAATTAAAAGCAAATAATCATATTCTAAAAATTAATTAATATATATATATTTAACAATGCTACTATCATTTAAAAATTAAAAAAATTCATCGTGTAAATTCTATTTTTTAAAGAACAAATAACAATATTTTAAAAATTCATTAACAAACCCTTATATAGATCTCTCTCTCATCGTTTCTCTCTCTTTTCATTAGACATGGATTAAATTACAATACAAATAAAGTTATAAATTAAAATAAAAATTGTTAAAAATGAGGGATGAAGAAATAATAAGAGCAAAACTTTACATATAAAATACTTGAAAGAAGCTAACAGTGTTATAGGAGAAATAAATATTTAAAATAACAAAAGTATTATTGACTTAAAATTATAAAAAAAAATATCATAAAATAAATAGTGTTTTACGAATACAAGAATAGGACAAGAATAATAAAAACCCACTTCTTTTAATGTTGTTCGTAATGTGACCACTTTTAGCCCAATTCTACTCCCCACGATTGTAAATTTTTCGGGCACTATCACTAAGACTAGCTAGGCCAAATCCACAATTGTGGGCATCTTGAATAATGTTTATGCCATCCATTGCTGCTGTTGGTACTTTCGTTTTCACAGAGTAGTCAAACACTCCAGTTCTGTACAATACATGCACAGATGAAATTGAAATCCACCGATGTTTCACATCTTCAATGACAGTCCTTTTCTTCTAACTTGCTGTCTTAGACCTTTTCCCTATACTCTTCCAAAAGAATCATACCCCACGCCAGAACCTATGATCACACCCACATGGAGATCACTGTCGGTCAAACCATGTTTTTTCTTGGGTGGTGGTAAAATTGTTCCATTCCTCAGTATGAATACATTGACTTCTATCAAATTGAAATTAAATATTTGAAAATTTTGGAAGAACCGATTCAATTTGAATTGGATGTGTGCTACGTTCTGTTCGAGTTGGATTCCAATGAGTAACATTCTATCTAAGTTGAACCGATTCTACGAATTTTTTAGACATTCAGTTTGACATAAAGTTGATATTTCAAACCAATTAAGTATCTGTCTTTTAGGATATTCTATTTCGAAATTGGGGAATTTCATGTATTCATAATTATCAATTCATAATATCAATCAATCATTTAAAAAGGCAATGCTAATTGTTGCAATTCTTGTCGTGTTACAATAACATTATTGGATGCGTATTGTTTATAAATGAGTTTTTTTTTTATTTAGATTATGTATTATTTGAATTTTTTCTTTATTGAGACCTTTTAGGTTTTTTTTTTAAAAAAAACTTGATGGAGACACTCTTTTTGAAATTTATTACTTTATACTTTTTGTTATAATATTACCAATCAATAATTGACACATCACATTGTAAAATAAAAAATCTTGAAAAGTAGAAATAATGTATTAATCACTTATTGTTGATATTATAACGAAAAGTCTGAAAAAAATAATAAAAAAAATACAGTGTTTCAATCAAGATAAAAAAATAAAGGATTTTAATTTAAAAAATTACAAAATCTAAATATGGGATAAACCCATTTGTAAATACGGTAATTATCTCATTATTGATTAAATCTAGTTAATTAAAAAAGGGAAATGTTGATTAATCAATTATTTACGATACCCTATTTCAAGAGTAGGGGAGTTTCATGTATCAGAATTATCAATTCATGATAATTAATCAATCATTTAAAAAGACAATGTTAATTGATACAGAACTCGTGGTGTTAGAATAATATTATAGGATGCATGTTACTTGTAAATATACTTGTTATCTACGTATTAATTAAACCTATAATTCTTTACACGCGACGCATGTCTTTTGATGATATTGTAAAACCACCACTTTTAGTCGTTGTTCACGAACACTTTTACTGTGTCTATGCTAAACAAATTTGGAATAGATACACAATATTACAAGCAGACCTAGTTAGTAAATTATAAATTAGCTCGAAAACAAATTAATTAGTGTTTCTAGTTTTAAAAACTAATTATTTATTATTTATTTTTTTGTTAATTTTTAATTTATTTTGATTTTTTTGTTTTAAGAAATAAAAAAATGAAAAGATTGATAAAAAAATTATAAAATAAAAAATATATTAAATTAGTCGTGATCGAACTCTTATTAAAAATACTAAATACTTAGTTTTTAAAACTAAAAGAACTAATTAATTTATTTCTGAAAACAAAAAAAAAACTAATTTATAATTTTTTTGAATTCTGAAGATATCTCAAAAGCGATGGCTAGACTAATCATTCGTTGATCAATCGGACGTATAAGACAGATACAATTATACGGAAGAATTTTTTATATATACATAAATTTGAATTCGAGATTACCTACGTAAATTATTAAACCCCTTTGTATTCAAATCAGTCCTCTTGGACAGGCTAATTTATCATTTACTCCTTGATTCCTGGCGGCAGGTACTTTTTTCAATTGAAAAAAAAAAATTGGGTTACTCTTCCTCAATTATTGGGAATGCCATCCCTTGCCATTCTTATCCAAACGTTTCAAGCGTTGATGGAACAATCTTGTAATTTATATTTGGAATCTATGATCGTGGACTGTCTACCAAGCCAAATCTTTTGAGCATTTGATTAAGGTCGTTGGGTTGTGATTCAACTCCCCCATTGTTTCTTGAAGCGATCAAAATCTTAATTAAAGTTTCTGAAAGTGACATGGTAGATAAACAAATAGAGACTTTCAAAGATTTAGCAAATTAAAAGATGGCAACAAAAGCACACGTCTATCCACTTGCCAATTCCAGCGCTGCATTTCTTTTTTCATGAATACAAGTGTTCCAATGAAATTCACCTTACTTTTCTCAATAAAATAAAATAAATAAATAAATAAATATCATTGACTTGTGCATTCAAGATTAAATCTTCGTTTTTTTAATTATGTTTTAGAAAAATTAAATTAAATTACCCACATGAAAATTATTAACTAAAAATACGAGATAAGCAAACCCACTTGTTTGCTAACCTTTTTCATATGTTGCTCAAATGATATCACTAGCTAGTGATTCCGTATGGAAGCTGTCGTTTACTTGTTCATGTTGTTCTGTTCATACTAAAGGTAGGTGGGTATGCAAAAGCTCATCAAAGACAAAAGTTGAGGGACCAAAAAAAAAAAAAAAGAGAGAGAGAAAGAGAATGAACAAATTAATTAATAAAAGAGGCAGATGAACACCAATGCTTCCACAAAGGAGTACAACTTTGCGAGGCACGTGAAATGGCTCTAATCTTTGTGTATGATTGCAATTGCATCATTAGAAGAAAACAATCTCAAATCACCTCATGTCCTTTGCTGGTGATTTTATCACTTCTCTCCCACAAATCCTAAGTAAACATTTGTTGGACTATATGGAGTTGCCACTCATAAAATTGAAGACAAAGACAAAACTTACATAAGACCTTTTCCACACCACAATCTAAATATATTTTCATATACTATATTATACGAATTGGTCCCACCAAATTAATAAAAAAAATCATAAACCCACCTAATTACTCTACCATATTATTACATTAATCAACTAATCAACCTACTATATGCAACCACTCTCTTTTTAATCACTAATTTTATGGATCCAATTTCAATCTTGAACTATAATATATTAGGTGCTATGTGTAGGTTATATGCGCGTGACATAGCTAGATTCCTATGTCTTTTATTTGTTTTTTGTTTTTGAATGATATATGTAATGCGTTGGATGTCAAAAAAAAAATATAATAAAAATGAAACATAGTAATTTCAACTTCTTTAATTATCATATAATAAATGTTGTTATCATTAAACTCAATAAGATTAGTTTGAGTAAAAAATATTTTAATTTTTTACATAAGTAATTTCGATTTTGAATTCTTATGTATGCATATAAATCTTTAATTAGCTATACTTTTTTTTATTTCTCAATTGAAAAAAGAGAAACAAGAAACAAGAAATTAGTCTAAATTTTTATAATTTTTAAAGAGTTGTTTTGAAAGAGTTATCGTTTATTATATAGATAAAATTGACAGAACTTCCCCATTAAATAAGAAAAAAGTGGATTCAAATGCTACTGAAAGTTGGCTAAGATGAATTTGACATGATTTTTTAAATTAAAATATGTAATGTTTATTGGGATTGGATAATAAAAAAGGTAAGAATATAGGTATGGTCCCTTCCGTGTTTTTTAAGTTCAAATGAGGGACAAATATTAAAAAAAATTACATTAAATTGATGTGAAAAGTATGTATTTAAAATGGTTTAAAAAAATTAATCTCAGTTGATATTCAAATTAATCCAAAATTACTTATTATTATCGAATAAAAAAATGAAATTGTTTTTCATAATATCATATTAGGTTTGAATCGTTAAAAAAAAAAGCTTTTCGTAACTGCACTAATTTGGATACCAATAATCAACTTAAAACTTAAATAAGCAGGGATTTTAATTTTGATTAATAAAAATTGATACGGTTAAAAAAATAGTAACAATTAGTAAAACTTAATGCTGATACTATGACAGATTAATTTATTTGTTAATGCATACAAAGGCGTATGAAATTGGGATACCGTGGATGTTGTTCTTTATCGGCTCGTGAAAAACGTGTGGGCCCCTACCAACCGTCCACAAGGATGATGATAGTTTGTGTAGACGGCTGTGATTGATCGATGGTGACAGCAACCGCAAATCTCCCGCTGAGTGACACACGTAGCGGATACCCCACGAAACCTTGGCCGGGTCGGTCTTACTGGATTTTTTCATTTATTGATTTATTTTACGTGTGTTAGTTTTCCTAGTAGAATACGTGTCCTCTATCTAACCATTAGCAAATTGTTTGGACATTTAATTTAAGGATGGGAAGTTATTTCTCACCTTCACTTTCTAGTGCGTGGGCTGCACCCTCTAGTGAGCTTGTCTTTTGCCCCTTCACGCCACCGTTTGGAACTGGCTTATATCAAGTGATACCACTACCACCAGCCGGTATTTAGATTGATACCGGCTTAATTTGAATTCGTCGGTTTCGATGACCGGAGTTTATTTTTTTCTTTAATTTATTAGAAGATTTTTTAAATTTTAAATTATATTATGTTATATAATAATTAAATAAATTTAAATTATTAAAATTTAAATCTGTTTTATTAAAAAAGAAACATCATGTACGCAACGTATTTATTATAAAAAATCATTTTATAACTATAAAAAAAGAAATTTAAACTTAGGACCGGGTATATGTTGTCGTGCTCGTTTTACGTTGACTTCTCAAACAAAAGGCTCCTATATTGTTAGTAACAAGTTATCATAATTATAAGTTAATGAAGGGATGTTAATATTCTCATTTACAGGGCCTCGAAAACCCTACTTTCACCAGGACTCTCTCTCTCTCTTGTTTATTTATTTTTTTTTTAAAAAAAAGCCTTTACTCTCATTTTTCTTCTACTTTTATTTATTTTTTTATTTTTTTTTTAGTAGGTGAAAAATCAAATCTAAGTTACAAGCTAGATTTGATTTGTACTTAAAATTTCTATTTTGTTAAAATATTTAGTTCTTGAAATAAGGTTTTGTTAATTTTTTTTTTTTTTGTTGGGTTATTGTAGTTGTTTTTTAATGGTTAAAAGAAGATGATACTCTTTTTAACTTTTAAATTGTTAAAATATTAACGAAGGTTTGATAGTATTTTCCGTTTTTTCATTGATTTATGATAAAAACTCAAATACGTGTATGTGATCTGCAAAACAAATTCTATTTTGGACGGTCATTATTAAGAAATTTTAGTAAACTTTTGGTAATACGTATGAAGAGAATTTCCTCTTAGAGAGATCGAGACTCAGCATTATTGTAAAAGGTTTTGCCAAACCGTTTTTTTGAAAAAATAAGTTGCAATTCTGGTCTTAGTTTATATATATATATATCATTGCACTATTAAGATAGTTAAGTATTTATTTTATTCATACTACCAATGAAATTATTATCTTTAACAAATAAAAAAAATATAAGTCTCATTAATTTACATGAAATTTGATTTTAATTATTTATATTAAAAAATAAATAAAAAAATTTTTGATTGAAAGATGCTAGGGATGTACTTTGGAATAACACAAATTTAAAAAAAAAATGTTAGTAAAAAAAAAAAGAAGGAGAATACATGTGTTCCTAATTATTTCATTTCATTAATTAATTATATGTGCAATCAACGATTTATTGGGCCAAGAATATAAGGGTATCGCTTTTGTTTAAATTAATTCTATTTTCCTATATCATATTATGGGTATATTTTTGCATATCTTAGTCTTTCTTGTTCTCTATCTCATATCTCCTGTATCAAAATAATAATAATACAAAAAAAAAAAAAAGACTACGGATTGGGCCAAGAATATATTATCAATGGGAAAGTGTAGTCGATTAAACAGGCTATGTAATAGAAGAATTTGAAAATTTTTTCAAATTTATGGAGTAGAAAATAAATTCGATCTCAAGAAAACAACTTGAGTACATATATATCACCCAAACTAAAAATACGAAAAGATCATCCTCTATCTCCATCCGAATCCTAATGCATGGCGAGTCGTTGTCACCTCCAGTTTTGTAACTTAGGCACATGAATGGCATGTTTTAAAAAACTTGAAAACTACATGGAAGTGAATCTTTCATTTTTTAAACACATCTATTTTTCTTTTAGCATTTTTTTATTTTAACTAAAAAAACCTTTTTCTTATACTCTTGTGTGAGCATAATAGGTTCGAGATTAGTCGTAAAAACTTTGATATTTAAAGGGAAAAGAGATCCAGAGTGCATTATTCCTCAAATTTGGTGCTGGAATTTATACATGAAAAGAGAGATCGGCCTACCAGTTATTTAATTAATAAATTAAATTTTGACATTTGGAAGAATTTGTAAAGTTACAAACCCTAAAGAATGGATCATTGCGAGATAAAATATACCTCGTTCTTTTCATGCACACAAGAACATTGGAAGATGCTACGTACCTGAACACCACAGCGCAATCTTGTAGGGAAGATCTTATTTAATTAATTTTTAAAATGTTTTTGCTTTCATGTTAAATAAAAAATAAATAAAATAAAGATTCTGTCTCATAAAGTGCAGTACAATGACATAGATTTTATTTGTGATTGTTTAAAATGGTCCTTGATGTGTATGCATGTCAAAAAGTACATCAATCCTAAAGTAACTTGGGAAATACTCGAGAGTGATGGGTTGTGCGCACAAATATTGGATCATAAGTAGCTTTTCCAAATTTTTTATTCATATAAAAAAATCATTTCTAACGCTAGGACCAAGATGTTAATATAATTTAGTCAAAATTCTGTAGACTGTGACCAGAACTTTAAGGCATATGGTCAGTTTTTTATCAGATTTTATTAAAATCCGGCCAGCCTCGAAAAAATTGACAAATATTCGGCCACAAAAAAACCAATACTCATAAAATACATCTTTTTATAAGGAAAACAATTGCTACTTTCATATAAATAGAAAATTATCTGCTTCCCTGGCATGGCATTCTTGCTCACTTTTGTATAATTATTTCTAATTTGACTAATTAGAGATAGATAACTACTCTCCACCAAATCTTTTTAAGTAGTACCATTTAGATTTTTTTTTTAAAAAAAAAACATTCACGTGCACCATGGTTGGTAACGGCGTAACGCAAGTGACTGCTAAGTTTAGACGCAATTAATCTTTTTTTTTGAAAAAAAAATAATAATCCAACAGAAGTTATTAATGCTGATTTTAATAAAAATTCTTTTCGGTATCGTTCCATTCGAGAACTAGCATAAATTCCTTTGGTGGTGCATATCGAGTGTTATTAAATTTATCATAAACTTTATTATTCCTATCATTTTTTTTTAAAAAAAACTACCAATACTTCTTATCAATTTTGTTATTATATCATAATCAAATATATTTTATATTAAATTTTAAATATTTTAAGCATTTTAGTATTAGTGTAAGAATATAGTAACAAACATTAATGAAAAATGTATATTAGTAAATGTTTTTTAAAAGAAGGTGGAAATAACAAATTTTGAAAATGAATTTAACAACATGCTTGTATATTTGCATTGAACAACATAATAACGTTAAATAGAACAAGATAATTATGGAAATTTAACTTTAAACATCAAAAGTCGCAGTGATAGATTCCACATCGCTGTTTCTGGCCATTACCATAAAAGCCTTGAGCATCTAATTTTGTAATTTTCTCCTAGCTGGGATAAAAAAGTCGGTATCAATGTCAGATAAATCAGTACGAGTGATACGAGGCAAGTGAACAAATAAATCACCATCAATTTTACCTTTACAAATAAGTTCTTTTGAGGTACACCAAGTTAAACTCTCGAGTGAGAAAATCATACCCTCCTGAGGCTTGAGAAAGCTACTTTAATTAATTTTGTCTCCAAGTTAAAAACTATCGAGTGAGCTAAATGATGTCTTTTCCACAAAGGTCTTGATTTGTTTTTTCACAAGTATTCTTGATCCACCGTTCAAGTCAATCGAAAATAATTTTCTTAAAAAATATATATTTTTAAAATGCATTTTTTTCTTCGATCTAATGCATTTATTGAATAGATTTCATGTATTGTTAATTTTAAAATTCGAACTTAAGAAATTAAGAGAATAAATAAACCTCATTCTCATTCCACGCCAAATCTAAGTAGCCTTAAATTCAAACAGAAGATACAACAAGCAACAAAAAGATTCGGACAAACAAGGGTTGGATTAGTAAATAAAGACAGGAAGCATGCATGCAAGACAATGGACCACCTTAAAAAACTTGAGGAAAAGACAATCGAACATCTCCTAGGAAATTACTCGAGCCCATGTCCCTCTTAATAGCCTGCTGCCTTGCGTTGCCGTTTGCCTGACGGCAGGTCTATTGGTCCCCCATAATAAAGAACGCAATTAGTAACAAAAGAAGGCAAAGCAAATAGGTAGGGGACCATAGTGCACATTGGCCCTTTTAAGTGGACAGTTTTTGCCGCAAACACCAAACAGTCCCTTCTCTCCCTCTCTCTCTCTTTGCTGGACCCAACTTCTATTTAAAAAAAAAAAACGTGGGCCCCGCACACAAAGCCCACGATTTTTCTTTCTTTAGTTGTGGACCCCACGATTTTTTTATGGTGTGGGGACCATAAACAGTTTGCATTGATTCAGCTGGCGGCTGTCAGGAAGTCAAAAAATTCTCAATTGTCCCCACCTTCCTGATCGTTCCACGTGTGTGGCCTTGATTCGACATGTCCATGGCGCATGCTGTTACCTTGGGACCACTCGTGGTCCAACCTGCTATCCTCCTACGCGTATCGCAAGAGGTCCTTTTTCCGCGAGTGGCGCAGAGAAGAGCGACGTAATCAACAGTCCCCTATTTTTTCTCTCTTAAATTTGGATGACGTGGAGCCCCGATCCGACAATGTCGGACACGAAATAGATAGATTTCTGATTGATTATTACATAGTTAATTGGGTACAGTAAACAATTAAATTAATTTTAGTTTTATTGAAATCTTTATATGAAAAGTCACAATTATAAAATTTATAAAACCCAATTATGAAATTATTTTTTAAAAAAATTGAACAAAAAATATGAATAAAGTGTTGAGTTACTATTTGAAATAGGATCCAAAACCCAACAAACCAAATATGAATTTACATGCATTTGATGGTAAATTTAGTATTCAAGTTTTTCAATAAATTTTGGATAATTGTTTGTATAAGCTAATTTGACCGGACTATTGCTCGAATTAGCAATCAAAACTTTGAGCATAGTGATCGAAACAAAGAAACTATCTTAACCTCGTGACATTAATTTGTTGAACCATGCAATACTTCAATTAAACTAAGGACATGTTTGGTTTTTTTGGTATCGTGTTGTATTTAATTACTATGTTGTGTTGTATTGCATTGCACATGAAATGAAAATAACATTATAAGAATTGTTGTGTTGTTTAAGAAATCAATTTTTTTTGGGATAATTATCAGAAAAACCCTCTAAAAAAATCTTATATTGAAGAAACTCACTAATTTATTTTTAAATCTCTCAAACTCGAAATAATATTTTTCTTGCCGAAACACCAAAAAGATAACCGCTTACTTAATATTAGTTAACTATTAGGTCTTTTGATAAGATTTTTTTATTTTATTTTTAGGTATGAGAGATTTAAAAAATAAATTGATGAATTTTATAGATAGAATTTTTTTAGAGTTTTTAAAAATAGTTTTTATCTAATAATAAACTCATTTCATAGTTTTTAATGACTTTTATATTTATTATTTTTTTTCATAATCAAGTCAAGTTTTTTTTTTTTATTGCATTCGAAAGAAAAAAAAAGTTTTTGATGCTCATTGACTCGTTAAACACTAACATTTGACTACTTTTTTTATATATATTATATTAGAGTTTTTTTTTTATCAATCGTTTGTTTCATTAACTACGAGATTAATTTTACTATCCAAGTAACTATAGCAACCAAGACAATTTAACTAATTAATGTTGATAAAATGAAACGCTTGTCATTCTCTTGTAATTTAATCAAAGAGTTATCATACAAATAAGAAAAATAAAATACGTATGATTATGAACATTAGTGATTTCTTAAATCACGAGTATATCGATAAAAAAAAAATCATCATAGGTAATATTATTTTTTAATTAATTAAAACTCAACATTTTTTTATCAAACAATTAAATTAAATTACAAGATGAATGTATAACATATTTTAGTACATTGATTAAATAAAACCATGATCATCCGTGATAAAAATACATATCTTGAAAGATAATGATTTTATTTAAACTAGAGATAATTACCAAAATACATTCTAAAAAGTCTTCAATCTAAAAAATTTACTATTTTATTTTTAAATCTCCCAAACACAAAATAATATTTTTAAATATCACAAGCCTACAACAATATATTTCTCACAAAAACAACAAATAGTTAACACTAGTGTTAATTATTAGGAGTTTTTGGTAAGAAAAATATTATTTTAGGTTTGAGAGATTTAAAAATAAATTTGTATGTTTTTTAGATAGAAGATTTTTTCATAAAGTTTTTCTAGTAATTATCCCCCCCTTTTTTTTTTACTCAAGAAAATAATATACTCTATAGGTAACCTTATTTTGTTTAAAAAAAAATCGGTTTTCATTTAACATAAAGCACAACAATACGAAATATAGACCTGGTGAATTCAAACGCTGCCAGGTTAACGGTCCTGTCTGTTTAACGTTCAGTTACTTGAATTGCCGGTCGAAGGGAACATCTAGATTTCTAGACCAAACCGGTTAGCGAGAGACTTCGAATGTTGTTATTATCTTCAGTGTTGAATTTTGTTAAATGATAATTTGTTAGGTAAATTTAAATGACGTGGAGGACACGCTCCAAGATTCAAGAGCTGCTATGTACTAATCAAATGGAAGAGGAAGACAGGTCTTTATAGATAGTACAATCGTGGGAAAGTTTAACGTCCTGCCATTTAGTACCTCAATTTTTTTCTTTTTAATCCTGTCGTTGGAAGTACTAAACTTTTTACTTGCACGTAAGAAGCTAGCATTATGTCTGATTGATGGCAAGTGTGACAAGCCAGCTTTCTTTTATTACCTCACAATTCACACAAGGTCATGCCATTATATATTCAAGTTACATGTGGGTTTTATCAAATATTCCTTATTTTTTTTAGGTTAAATATTAAAGGTGTTTCGAATTAATTTTTACGTATTTTAACATTTTTTTTTCAGTAAGTGGTTGAAGAGCACTTTTCAACAGATAGTTTCAAAAATTTTTAAAAATATTAACTACAAAAATCCAAATCTAAATCTAAATTTTTAAAACAAATTGGACATACGTTCGTGCCAATTGATAAGACTTGAACAAATAGATATGATCGCGTTTTAGGTCAAATTTTAACCTAATCCCATAGGCTTACTTCGCATTGCTTTAATTGAAGTGTATTATACGAAAAATAATAATTAAACTTGTACTTTTAAGCCCTAGCTTAGATCAGTTTAGGTAGTTGAGTGAGGCATTTAACAATGTTCTTAACGTCAAATTGTTCTTGCGATACTTTGTATCGTATAATTAATAGTCAACTAACCTTATTTTACTTCATAAATACAATTAACTGTAATTGATGTGGTGTTTCAAGTATCAATCTTGGACGTTAAAATGACAATTAGTAGCTTCTGTTGACAAGAAATCTTTCTAAAGTTCTATGGAGTATTAAGTAAAGAATAAGATAAATTTTATCGAAAATCTTTTTCCATGCATGTAGATGTATTTAAAAAAAGAAAACACAAGTTTTGATTTATGGAACCCTAGACTAGATCCACTTACTCATTGGACTAGATCTCTTGATAAATGATTTTGGATTAGAATATTAATTGTTTTTGTATAAAGAAATTAATGTTAATTTTATCAAAAATTTCTATGAAAACGATTGTAAGAAATTACAATAATTGGATTAGAACTCTTGATAAATGATTTTGGATTAAAATATTAATGGTTTTTGTACAAAGAAATTAATGTTAATTTTACCAAAAATTTCTATGAAAACCATTGTAAAAAATTACAACTTGCCGGCATCTTCTGTGATAGGTCAGCCCTTCCTATTGCCCTGATTATTGCACATCATAAAAATGCGATCCATAGGCCCACAAGAATTTGCCTCGTGGACTAGTTGCTGAAATATTGGAATGAATTAATGTCTTTGGCAAAGGACACTACGGCTCCCCTCACTCGAGGCTTCTTTTAGGTGCATGCATGCATGTCTCCCGCCCTCCAATGACTCTACTCCTCGAAACCATTCAATCCGTTGGCCGGATTTATTTTTCAGGCACCATTAATCTCACCTATATTTTTCATGCATGTTATTGGAGAAAAATATTACCATTACGAGTATATATCTGTGATGTCTAATTGGAATTTGTCAACTCAAACTGGTTTTCGGGCTTTATATTATAATTTTTTTATAATATTTTATTAAAATTTATATATACTCGTATTACTTTATATTTAATTAAATTTAAGTTGTTATTTGAAGTTTCAGAATATAATTTGTATTTTTAAAATACCATATCAAAAAATCAATTCAATCAAAAATTTCAATAAAAAATTTAAATTATTAGATGAAATCTCATAATATAATTTATATTATTTTCTAACAATATTATTTGTTATTTTATTAATTTTTTTATTTATCGAGAACTTTGTAGGTTTTAAACCATTTAATAAGAAATAATTCTCTTGTTACATAATAATTAAATAAATTGAAATTAAATCGAACTTATTTAATTGAAAAAAGGCATGACATACACATACACAGTTGTTAAACTATTTCTGATTGCGATATTACATTAATTTTAAAAACATTCAAATGCCCCAAACTTTTTAACCTTAAACCACTGTAAATTTCAAGAACTTAGAATAAAAACTACTCCAACATAAATTTAATTTAAATATTTTGAACTCAAAAGATCAAAAGGAGGGAATCCCTTTTGAGACAATAACATCCCATTTCTTTTACAGCCACAATAATTCAAATTGGGATGGCTTTCGTAGATCTAAACGGCCAAAAAGACCATAAAACAGTACGTTAGTAAGATAGCGGCAGATCATTAGGGCATGGAGTAAATTGACACTGTGTGTGAATAAATGAGTAAACCTTTTTTGTCTTCCAAACAGTACCTCGGGAAAATATACGTCTGTTTCCACAGTTTAAGATAAGGCAGATACGAGTAGGATCACTGCATCACTTGTACGGCCACTCTAGATCATCATGCCCTACCTACCTATACTGTTTATTAACACAGTGTCTCTCACGCGCTTCTTTTCTCAACTGTAACTGTACTCTGTCCCCAAAAAAAAAAAAATACACACCAACCTAACTTAACAGTTTTCTTTTGCCACTCTGGCATTTTTTGCACCGTTGGATCAAACCCCAACCTCCACTTTGCATCAGCTGTTAACGTCCATGGAAAAGGCTAGGAAAGGCTTTCACGTGAGGCTCCCATGATGGTTAAGAGTGTTGCTTTTTTTTTTTTTTTTTTTGTCCTTTTCCTTTAGTCGGATGATAATACGTACTTTTAAATCCGTTAATATGTTATTTGAGTCTAGATTTTATTTAGTTTTATTTTTATACTTTATTTAAAACATATTTTTACATTGATCTCGTAATTAAAAACTATTAAATTTAAAATTTAAAAAGTTAAAAAGAGAAAATAATTTTTTTTATTTTAATCATATTTATCTCTTAAAATTAAGTACTTATTTAAAAGTCAAATTGACGAAAATAACTTCTCTAATCATACTTGTCTTTTAAAATTAAGTATTTTTTAATTAATTAGAAATTCATGAGTTATTAGGCTATACAATAGAGTAGTCTTTTTTCGTTACATGATAAAGAAAAAACTTAAAAATCATCGGAACTTAAATTTTATTTTATTAAAAAAATATAAAACGTTTCATAATCGTTACCTAATATTATACCATGTCTTTTAAAACATGTAATTCCAATTCAGTATAGATTAAAAAATAATAATTTTTTAATGTAAATATAGATGGTCTGTTTTTAATGTGATTAGATAATTAAGCTTAATTTTATTACAAGAAGATTAAGTTGGTTGTATCCGTTGAATGTTAAAAAAAGGATTGATTCAAGAAGCACCGTATCTTTTTGTTTTTTGTCTTGTCTTGGTTATGCATAAGAAAACATGATTAGCATTGATAGCAATGTTGAGGGAATCATTAGCATCCGAATTAGGAAAGCATCCGATCTATGTACAATAAGCAATTATAACAACAGTAATTAAAATGATAGTTGTTTACTTGTCAAACCGTGTTGACATTTTAAAAATACTCATAATAGGTAAACAAATACTATGATGACTTATGTATTTTTAAAAAAAAAAGAAAAAAGAAAAAGAAAAAATGACTCGAACTCATCAATCAAGGAAGAAAAATGAGTTTGACAATATATTGGCTTTCATAATATTCAATCAAATTCTAATAATATTATTGCAGACCTTGGCTAACCAATTTGATGAAGTATTTATTCTTAAAAGAATAAAGATTGAAAAAGTATTTGATATTATTTTTCAAGCAATTCTAGCCACACTTGAATTGAGAAGGAAAAGACAAGAGGTAATATAAAACTTTTTACACAATAAATTCAATTTACGTACATTAATTTTTTGATTCGTTGGTTCAAATAATTTTACCATTGTAACTAGTTAATAAAATTCGAACACAAATACTTGAAAAATTAATGCACATAAATTGAATTTATGTAAAACTTTTTAAACAATAAATCTCCAAAGAAAAATAGCCATTTTTTAGAATCCAACATGCTACTGCTATACGTGAGGACCAAAAAAATAATAAATAATAAATAAAAAATAATATATATATATATATATATATATGTATATATGTATATATGCTACAAATTCTAAATTATATATATATTTTTGGTAGTTGGTATTTTTTTAACTATATAATAAGGGGTAATTTTTTTTACATAATAATTAAATAAAATAAAATAATAAAAATTCAAATTTGTTTCACTAAAAAAAATTATGGAATACACAACATGTAGGTTATATCTATTTTTTTATATAATTATATGTTAAAAAATGAAATTTATTATAAATATATAATTTAGAAGTGAATGATCTATTCAAGATTACGAATAAATCTATTTAAGATTTTATGAAGGGAAAATAAATTAGCAAAAATACTGTGAACATCTGCAGGAAAAAAAGGGCACACATAAAATCCCATTTCTTTGATTACAAGCAGTTTTCTTCACCTGAAAACCACCACAAACCCAAAATCACTCTCATCTACAGCCTCTCCACACTCCTCTCTCCCTCTCCTTCTTCACCTTGCACGTTTATAGTAACCCCACATATCATCAGTCGTCACTCATCACCTTCCCTCCCTTTCTCCCTACTTCTTCTCTCTCTTAAAGACCACAGTCTCTCTCTCTCTCTCTTTCTCTACACTTTCAAAATTCACCATGTTTGCTTCTTCTCTTCATAGTACTTGCATCGAACCTACCTTTGCATCTCTCTCTCTATAATTCTCTTTTGTTCTTGCAGATATATATATATCCCATGTTGTAATAAACTCACAATCTCTTTCTTTCTTTTTCTTTGTCTCTTCAAGACTTGCGCAAAAAAGCATGGCCTTCCACCATAACTTGTCATCACAAGACCTTCCTCTTCACCACTTCACAGACCAACAAGCAACAGAAAACACAACGGCACCACCGAATTGGCTGAACACTGCTCTACTCCGCTCTCAACAGCCACCACAACAAACTCATCACCACTTTACTGATAACAACAACACGAACAATTTCTTAAACCTCCACACGACCACCACTTCCACCACCGCCACCACTTCTGACTCCACCTCTCATAACCCAGCTCAATGGCTCTCCCGTTCCTCCTCCTCCCTCCTAAACCGCAACCACAGTGACGTCATCGACGATGTCGCCGCCGCTGCCGCCGGTGCAGACCACCACATGATCGGTAGTATGTCGCAAGAATCGTCAGAATTGAAGAATATAAATAAGAGTGAAGGAGAAACCATGGTGGCGGACAGTGGTGGCGTTGGTGGAGGAGAGGCAGTGATGAATTGGCAAAATGCAAGGCATAAAGCGGACGTATTGGCGCATCCTTTGTACGATCAATTGTTGTCTGCACACGTGGCGTGTTTAAGGATTGCCACGCCAGTTGATCAGTTGCCGAGAATTGATGCACAGTTGGCTCAGTCACAACAAGTAGTGGCTAAGTACTCTGCTCTAGGAAGCCAACAAGGATTGGTTTCTGATGACAAAGAGCTTGATCAGTTTATGGTATATTCCTATGTTTATTACTCATGTTTGCCTGTATTTGAAATTTGAAAAAAAATCCTTTTTTTTTCCCAGTTGGACCATTTTGCCATGTTGTTTTTTTGGTGCAAATGTTGAGTTTTTGAATGTTTTGGATTGTGAATCCAAATGGGTTTGATTCATTTGGGTGTGTTTTTGGTTTGATGTTGCAATTCACAAACATTTTTTCAGACCCCTTTTTTTTTTCCTTGCAGAAAAAAGTTTGAAATTTTCAATATTTTGGTTTATGAACTGAAATGGGTGTGATTAATTTGGCCTCTGTTTTTTTTTTTTAATGAATTTTTTTTAGGGATAAGTTATGACCAGAGGAATTATTCAAATTACACCAATTTTTTTTTTTTTTTTTGCAAAGTTTATAGGTGTTATGAATGTCTTGCTTCATGAAAGGTTTTTGATTAATTGAAATGAATTTTGGTTTGGTTAATTATAATAAGGGGGATTTGTTGAGTTAGTGATTTATGTGGGCTTCTTTTGAGATTGAAGGGTATGGATGCACCGACAGGGGTTTTTTGGTGGGATAATTAAATGAGGAAGTTTGGTGGTCGGCTTTTTGGATGGTTGTTTGGTGCTTAGTTAGTAGATGTATTGTTGATGCTTGAGGGAAGGGTATTAGCTAATTGTGACATTAATGAAGGATGTATCTTTGGTTGCAAGTTTGTTTCCAGCCAAAACTAGCAGGGGTTTTGTGGCTCGAAGCTGGAATTTGAGTTTATTGGGATCAGACGTGTGTAATGATATAAAGATAAGGTTTAAGACGCCGTAACTGTAAGTTTCTGATTTTGGGGTGAAACCGGTAGACAGTAGTCACAGCTTTAATCTTCAATTCTTGATGTAGTAAAAACTGGAAAATCTGGAGATCGACTGTGCTTGGGGAAACTCAGAGGAGCTAAGTTCGATATGAATAACGATGCTGGTTCACGGAGAGGCAGGGATTTATGAGGTACTAATCTAAGTTCGATCGTTGGTTTGGAGATTCAAGTTATTAAGGCCTAGTTTGAATTTAATTTACTGAACTAGAAGAAAGATGAGAGATTAAGAGCTGTGAATGGAATAAGATTCTATGACAGATTCCTTTAAAGATCTTGGGACCCCTTAGTTTCAAAAACTCTGCTGTCAGAAATGACATGAAAGTAAATGTGGTTAGGAATAAATTCTATTTAGATCTAGCAGTTCCCTTACAGAGGTTGAAGGCATGCTTTCAGAAACGAAGAGTCCGATTTATCATACTCCGAAATTTGATTTTTCAAGTGGGTATAGGGTAGATGCAAGAAGCCGTTAAATTGAATTCTTGGATATTTTGATTTTAGTCATGAACTTCTAGTGTCTGTGACAAACTCTCCGAGATATCTTCCTTGAACTAAATTCTTTACTCACCTTGATTGAATGGGAGTACATTCTTCATCCCCCAATTTTTACATCGAAAGGGTTCTGTCTCGTCTATTGGTCCTTTCAGGTCTAATTGGCCCAAGTGGGGATGAATGCTTGAAATTCTATTGGTTGGTTTGAAATTACTAAGCCATATTGCTTTCAGACAAAGAATTTGTATGTTTTAATGTCTAGGAACCATGAATTTGTATTGTTTCTAACAGATTGTTATTGTTTCCAATATGATGATATGCCTTGCTTGACCTTTTATTCTGTCAAGAAGCAGATAATCGACTCAGAGTGTTTGTCGTACTTTCCCTATGTAATTGGAAAAACTGGAATGTGTTTAATGACAATTGTTGGAGTTGCTTCTGAAACCTGTTCGTTTATCTCGAAAAGAAAACTGTGTAACAGAATCAAAATGTTGATCCTTTCATTTTCCGACACTGCAGACACATTATTTTCTGTTGCTTTGTTCCTTTAAAGAACAATTGCAGCAACATGTTCGAGTTCATGCAATGGAAGCAGTAATGGCTTGCTGGGAGATAGAGCAGTCCCTACAAAGTTTAACAGGTAATATTTCATTATCTTATCCTACTTAAATTAAAATCGTCTAAGCTGCCAAATTCTTGCTTGCTTTTGTGCTCTTGATTTTTTCGATAACACATCCTGGTAATTAATGTTTGCATATAAACTAAGTTAAGCTGCGGACGCATGATTCTCAGAGTCCTCATTGTTTTTCAATGCCATGGCTCATGTGGTGGAGGAAGCAGGGAAACTGCTAAAGAATTCAATTTTATTGCCTTCTTTACAAGGCTCTATCCTGCTCTTTAGAGAAATTTGCTTACCTTTATAACCTGTTGAAACTAGTACCATAAACATGACTGCCATTACAGGCTGGTTTTGATTCTGGTTTTTCTTGCTTTCCCTGATAAATATTAGTGTCTCTGCCACACTAAAATGCTATTCTTTCATGCCATGGTTCATGGGGTGGAGCAATAAGATATTGTGACAAGTATTCGTGATACCGGAGCTATAATATTTTCCTGTTTGCTTCATGAACAGGAGTTTCTCCAGGTGAGGGTACAGGTGCAACAATGTCAGATGACGATGACGACCAAGTTGACAGTGATGCCAATTTGTTTGACGGAAGTTTGGAGGGTGCAGATACAATGGGGTTTGGTCCCTTGGTCCCTACAGAGAGTGAAAGGTCTTTGATGGAGCGTGTCAGGCAAGAATTGAAGCATGAATTAAAACAGGTAACGGCCGAAATCATCTACACTGAAGCATAGAATTTTGACATTTTCAATGTTACCAATTTTCACAACATTTTGTAGGGTTACAAAGAGAAAATTGTTGACATTAGAGAGGAAATTTTGCGCAAGAGAAGAGCAGGAAAGCTTCCTGGGGACACAACCTCGGTCTTAAAAGCTTGGTGGCAATCCCATTCCAAATGGCCATATCCTACCGTAAGTGTTACTGCTTCGGTCTCTTTAATGGGATTTGATATATATATGCTTAATTAATGAGCTTTAGCTTGAAATAGGTTGCTCTAAGCTACTGTAACTCTTTTATGTGCATGCATTAGTTCTATTCATTGGAACCCCACCTTCCTTTTGTGCTGTCTCTCAGGACAAGTCAAAAAACATGTGCTTTAAGTTTTCCACGGCCATGCCGACCTTGAGCGTCCAAAAAATGACAAAAGCAGCGAAATTTCCTTATTTAAAGAACTGAAAAGATGTTGGGATACCCTAACACAAAATGCAAACAAGCAGAATTTGTAGGCAACAGGCAGATACTTGATACTTCTTCTGACAAGACCTTAGTGGGTGACCAGATTAGGGGGTAGTTAAGCCAAAGTCATCAATGTCAGACTGTCTCTTTATCAACTTTCTAAATTGAATATCTATGACTTTTCAGGAGGAGGACAAGGCAAGATTGGTACAGGAAACAGGTTTGCAATTAAAGCAGATAAATAATTGGTTCATCAATCAAAGGAAGAGGAACTGGCACAGTAACCCTTCAACTTCAACAGTCTTGAAAAGCAAACGCAAAAGGTACTTCAATTGTTTTATTAAATCGTGCCTTTCCATCTATTTAATCCCTTTTGAGCTTTGAACCAACTTTAATTTGAAAAAGAAGTAATGCAGGTGATAACAATGGCGATCGATTTGTGTAAAGTCCGAAATATATCACCTTTGTTCACGCTTCCACTCTAGCAAGTATATTGAACATACCTCATAGCAATGGAACTGCAATTAAAGGGTTTGACATTGGTCCACAGAATTTGAGTGAGAGAACCATATTTTGCTTCTAGAGGAAAGAAAGACTAACATAGGGGAGATGATCAGGAGTGGTCAAGGGCACGCAGATGGTAGAATGATTGCTATTAGCAAAAACTTTATTGGATAGATATAGGCAATGTGCATTGGCAGGTTTATGAATTTTTGTTTACTTCTTTATATATATGAATAAGAATGTTGAGGGGTGATGGATGTACAGTGTAATAATCTCTACATGCTTTACTTACCGTCATTATAGATAATTTGATATATGATATATATAGAATTAAATTTGGGTTAAATGGGTCAATTTTTTTTTCTGAACTTTAACTCATTTGAAATTAAGTCTTCGAAGAAACTTTTAATTTTTTGAGATTTAATCAATTTAATGATTTTTAATCATCACCCTTGCATTTAAAAATTTTAATTATTGATATTTTGAGTTGAAGTTTTACACATATGTTGTAAAAAATTAATTTATTTTTCAAAAAATCTCAATAATTTTTTAAATCATTTATTTTTTGAACATTTCAAATATAGAAAATAACCTGAAATGATATCAAATTTTTTGAGGAGTTTTATATAAATTCTACTAAATGATTTTTATTATAGAATTATTTATGTGATCATTATTTTTTAATATAAATGGCAGAAAAATAAATGGATTGAATTCAAAAAAAAAAAAAAATTAAAAGTTCAAGAATCTTGAAAACTAAATTTGAAGTTTTAAGAATTTAATTTTAAATCAGTGAAAGTCGAGGAGAAGTTTGATCTGTTTACCATTAAATTTGAGTTTAATGGCAAAAATTGTCTTCCATCAATTAAAATTTGACAATTTAAGGTTTTAAATATTAAGTTATGTAATTTGAATCCTAAAATATCAGTTTTTGAATAAATTTGATCCAAAATTTTCAATCTCCACTATTTATAATAATCAATTAGGTTGACAATTAAGTTTTGTGCATTTTGTTAATTTTTTTAAAAAATAAGGGAGGTTAAATTAAGGGGTAAGTTTTGTGCATTCCGCTGTTATTATTATTTTTTAAAAAAATTGGAATTACAGGGTTTTAAAATCAAAATAAAAGTCTAAACTATTTTTTTTACAAAAAAAAACTTTTATTTTTATTTTTAACCCTCTTAATTTTGAATTATTTTAAAAAAAATAACAACGAAATGCCCAAAACTTATTTCCTAATTTAACCCCTCCTAATTCTGAATTTTAATTTTAAATTTTTTTTTAAAAAAAACAACAGAATACACAAAACAACGTTGTTTTGGTATTCTGCTTAATGGTCAACTAGTTGACTGTTATAGATAAGAAATTAGGAGATTTTGATCAAATTTATAAAAAAAAACTAATATTTTGAAGTTCACATTTAGATCAAATTAGGAGATTTGGATCAAGTTTGTCCAAAAATTGATATTTGAGGTTCACATTATATCCAATTTAATACTAAAAATCTAAAATTATCAAATTATAATAGAGCATAATTTGTTACTAAAAATTTAAAATTATCAAATTACAATAGAACATGGATAAATTTTGCCATTAAAACTCTTAAATTTGTACAGCTGTTGAATATAAATATTTTGAAAATTGTTTGCTGATGCTGTTTAAGCAAGTTACTGAACTGCCCTAATGAGGCATGGAGTATCTGATATTTCTCTTGGGTTGTCCACTTCTTTGACATATTTCTTTTTTGGCAATAGAAGGGGCCTAAACCCAAACCACTTAGTGGGTTGCATGGGAGAGGCTTGAATTCTAACCACTTGGATTTGGTAAGTAGGAGTCCCTGAATCTTTCCCCTTAATTTCTTGCATGACCAAAACAATGAAAAGATCGGCCAAGACGGGATTTTGTATATTAATTTCTTAACAAGAACAAAATTGAAATTTATAAGATGGATAATCATATACATAGCCAATCATCACCATTGTTATCATGCATAAGATTTAAAGTAATTAATCAAAGTGTTTAAAAAACAAAAAATAATAATCAATATTAAAAGTTTTAGATCAAATGGGAAATCTTACAGCAAAGCAAAAGCAAAAATTAAGACTAACAATATGAAAAAAAACCAGTAGAACCATATGTAGACTCTCCTTTTCTAATCCCAACCGGAGCAATATACCTAGCCAAAAAATCAGGATATTCAGCATCTACTTCCCTATCAATCCCATCATCAAAGTTAAGTGCATAACTTCGAAGATCATATTTATACTGCATTCTTGTTTTTTTCTTGTTATTGCGTAACTTGCCAATATAGTTCTTCCACTTTGGCTCTGCCAAAACTTCTGCTATCTCTTTTAATTTCTTCACTTTTTCTACCAACCAACCATCTTTTTTAGTCTCTTCTTGTTGATGCATGAGAAGGCCTTCATTGCCATTGTTACTTGCTTGTCGCGGCCGATAGCTAAGTCCTTGAAAACAGCCACGGCAACAGCGATTACTGACTGCCTCTTTATGATCTTTGAGGCATAGAGTGTCTACTGATGGTGAAATTTCGCTAATGAGTGCTTGTTTTTGTTGTAAAGTAATAGATGCCATGAGAAAGATCAGTACTCGGGCAAATTAGTTGATGGTCAGCAAGTATCCCAATTCACAAAGAAAAAGGAAAAGGGTTTTGCTACGAGGGGAAATATGGAGAACTAACTAATATGAGATTAAGTTTCAAAAGGCTTCTCTGCCTCTCTCTCTCTATATATAGGACACACGGTTTATAATATTGCTTGATGTAGGAATCTATTATAAAGATTCAGTAAAAGTAGGATTCTCTCATGTTATTTTTTTTGGACATAATCTATCGTATTTTTCTTTTAATCTCATTCTTTTTTAAAAAAATTAAATGGCTAAGTATTCTTAGTAGAGAATGTTTACTTAATTATTAAAAAATATCATATTTTATTTATTTATTTATTGTCTCATTTATTTATTTTTTATTTTTTTTGAAATTCTAGCCTCGTTACAAATGTGATTGGGTGAAACTAGATTTTTATAGCTAAATAGAAAAAATCATAGGCTTTTTGTTGGTTCATTGAGAGACCTAACCGGCTTTCAGCTGCATAATGGGATAATCCTCTCTGTAATTCTAGTATACTTTATTGGATATACAACTTCTAAGATATGAAAGTAATTAAGTTTGCCTGTGCTGATAATAGCTCTTTTGAATCTTAATTAACAATGAAGAAATTGAAATTCATCAGGAATGACAATCATACAACAAATAATAATCATTTTTATCATTAAGGGTAATCGATTGAAGACACAAGTACAAAAGAATAATAACCAATGTACTAGAACCGAGAAGACTGAAAAAACCTAAAAACCAGCCGTGTCATGTGCCAACTCTCCATCGCTAATCTCAACTGGGGCTGCATATCTTGCTGAAAAATCAGGATATTCGGCATCAACTTCCCTATCAAATCCTTCATCAAAGTTAAGAGCATAACTTTGAGGATCATATTGATACTGCATTCTTGATCTTTTCTTAGTATTATTACTAATCCTCCGAATAAAGTTCTTCCACTTTGGTCCGGCCAAAATTTCTGATATCTCCTTAACTTGCTTGACCTTCTCCACTAGCCAACCATCTTTTATCATCACCTCTTCTTGTTTATGCATTAGGTTTCTCTCCATGCCATTGTTGCTTCCTCGTCGTGGCCTGTAACAGAAGCCGTGAAAACAGCCACAACAAGAAGAAGTCCCTGCCTCTTCATAAACTAATTCAGCATAAAGGGTGTCTACTAATGGTGAAGTTTCACTAATGGATGCTTGTTTTTGTTGGGGATTAATGGATGCCATAAGAAAGAGCAATTTGCCAATTTCTCTCTCTCTCTTTTTTTTTTTCTTGAGAAGGCTAGGGCAAAGTTGATGGTTAGCTAGCAAAGGATCAAAAAGAAAAATAAATAAAGGTTTCTCGTGAAGGATTATACATATATACGGAGAAGCTTAATTAGAAAGCTGCCTAAACGGCTTAATTATAATCCTTTAGGTGAGGATTAAAGAGATCCAATCAGAAAATGGTAGAGAAGAAAGCTGGAAGGATCTTTAAAAAAATCAATATTTGGTATAAAAAACTCTACGTGACAATGTCCATGTGGTGAAAAACTTGAATGTCAAATTATATTTAGACACGTAGATTAATAGACCTGCATTGTTTATAATTTTTATAATAATCTATATCTCTATTGGCCTGTTATAGATCTATTTTTGATAGCTTAGTGATTTGATCATGAGTTCGTTGGATTCCTGTTAGCTAGGGATTTAATGAAGGCTGTGTTTGCCGGCCAGTAGTAAGTGCAGCTGTGGCTTATGTGTCACCTCTTCATCGACAGTTAGAAATTCCAAACAGCTATTTTGTCTTTGTATAAGCTTAATTTGGTATTTTTAAATAAGATTTATGCAAACTATAGCCGCATTACATTATTAAAATTATTAATTATGGTATCAACAACAACTAAAGCCGAAGTCAGTCTTCCATAACTAACCCACCCCACGTAATATTCCATTCCAATGAGCTAGATTATTTTCCATCATTTTTTTATTAATTATCTATAATAATTGACGGTTGGATGTAGTTAACCATTAGTTTTTTATTTTTTTTAAAGTACAATAATAATTCCAATGAGCTGAAAAGGACTGCCTTTGTTTGCTTTAGAAATTAATATATGTAGAAACTAAAATTTATTAGCACTAGAATTTCCGAGTGTGTGTATAAATATATATGAAAAAAAAAACCCTTAATTTTTTTATGTCAAAGTAATATTTTCATGTCTAGGATGCAAACTAGTCTTGTTCAAATTTTGGAATTATTTTTAATTTCTTGTCTCTTTAATGATTAAAGTATACGTGGACCAATTTTTATACACTAAGACTAAGTGTCAATCATCAAACTTTTGGCAAGTCATCTTCAAGAGCATTTTCTTCGATTTCAATCCAAAAGAATAACATGAAGAGTTACCATTTTAATACATACATGCATACATATGGATGGGAAGCTTTACCTAAGTATAGCCCAACAAAAAAGACTCATGAGTCCTGCGATTTCAAAATTCATCAACGCTAAACGTGGCATAACTATCAATTGAGGACAAAATATTTAAAGAAAAGTTTTCAATTATAACATCAGTCAAATCACCATTTATCATTACAATACTAATGTCGTTATAGATCAAATACAATGATAATATAATACAATACTTATCAATTTTTTCACTAACTTCACAGAAAAATAACATTTTTATTCTTTATATCATACGAGTTGCACTCGCAGATTATCTATATAAAGACCAAAACCATCATAAAGTAAAGAGATTATAACTTTCTTAATTTTCAAAATTTAACTCTAGGATTTCAACATTTTAAATTACAAAAGTCCAACTCAAAAAAATACCATCAATACAGATTATAGACGTCCAACTTAGAAAAATACTCTTAATATAGGTTTTTCATCCAGTATAATTCTATTTTTTCAACTGAATTACACCTAAACTAGTATAGACTAGAACAAAAGAACCTTTTTAAGCTAATTTGTCATTTTCAGACTCCTAAACTAAGTGTAGGAGAGTGCTTTACTCAATCAAGAGAACTTGTTTTATAGGGTATATATATATTTTTTTATTGATTCTTTTCCAATCGAGATGTATGGTTTCATGAGTATAAAATCGAAAAGCAAATTATGGTAAACTTGGACAAACAAAAATGAAGTGCAAATGAAACTTCCTTCACACTCCATATTGTCAAACGACCATTACGGCCAACTAAACCACGTATTTAATTTTATTGGATGAGTCGACTTCCGCCTCATCGCATACGTACACAAATTTTCCACAGTATAAATATAAAATTATATTCCACAATAATTTGGAAAAAAAAAAAGTAATTAGCTAGAGGGATCATACACACTGTCACTGTTTGACTTTATCTACGAAGTCCTTGGGGTGGTGGGGATTTAAATTTGCAAAGATCTTACTGTAAGTTTAGCTAATTTTAGAAGAAACAGACAAATAGGAAGAGTCTTGCATATTTTTGTACAGGCTATGTATGTGCACGCTTGCTTTGTAATCTTTCTTAGCTACCATGGCCAGCTAGGAAAGTTCTTCGTGGAGACAACTAATATAGCTGTCATTTTGTTGAAGCAAATGATTAGCTAAGATAACCTAAGCTCCAGTACTTTTGAAAAGAAAAATTAAACTGTATACTGTGTGTGATTTTATTTGCTTGGCCTGTTTGTGCCCATTGGAAGAAAGATTGCTCTTAGGTTATGTTTGTTTCGGAAAAATTAAGTTCCTAAAACTTGTATTCTCTATTTTCTTTTATTTTTCGATGTTTGTTTCGCCATCTTGAAAAATAATCAATGAAATCTGATTTTCAGTCAACAAAAATTAAGATAATAATTTTGGGAAAATGACTTTCTAACTAAAAAACAAAAAAACTTCTTGAAAAATAGATTTTTCAAAATTATTTTTTCTATTAAAAGTTGTTTTTTTGTTAAACAAATGGAACCTTAAAAACCTTACCACTCGCACCAAGTTGTTGTGACATGGCATCCTCTGATCTTGGGTTTGTTTCGTATTTAGGGATCGCATTTAAGCTTGTTTGTGCTGAACGAAAGATATATGCATTACAGGCATGACCCAAAATCTTCTTTGGGGCTTCATAGGCCATATCATGCTACTTGTTGTCATCACTCTATACAAGTTTAAATTCTGGGCCAGCTTGGTTGGTGTCCTGTTTAGCCTTCTTCTAGCTGGTAGGCTAGGCTTGTTATGGCCTTACAGGCATGACCCAAAATATACTTTAGGGCTTCCACGACCATATCAGGCTAACTCGTAATCTTTGTGTTAGTTTTTTTTTAAAAAAACAAAATTAATAATTATTATGACACATAACCTTTTTTTATCTTTATTTTTAGAAAATATCCTTTCATCCAGTCAAGTTTGAGTTCCAAAATTTTTAACAAAAATATAGAGATTATTAACGAATACTAAATTTTTCATAAAATTTTAAACCAAGAAATCAAAAATCAAAGCCTCAAATCAAGATTTTCATTCCTCTCATTTAAGCTGGAAAATTTTAGAAAGATCTAGAGAAATTTTTGCCTAAATTTTTATGCCAAAAAATTAGTCCCAAAATCAAGACGTCAATCCAAAATCTCCATGTCTTTGAAATTTAAGTTTGAAATTTTTTAAAACGATCTAAAAATCATTAAAGAATCCTAATTTTTTTCTTAAAATTAATAGTTTTCATGCAATAAAAAAAATGAATTTTTTATGTTAAAAATATTTCTAGGTGTAAAATAAAAAAGTAAAAAAAATATTGATTTTCTAATTAGTAAAAAATAAAAAAAATGATTAGATTATTTTTTAAAAATATATAATATTTAAAGTTTTGGCAAAATAATTATTTTAAAACAGAGAGAGAGATAGAGAGAGAGAGAGAGAGAGAGATTTTTTTTGGGACAAAGGGAGTGCCACTTTCTTTCATTAATGGAAAGTTCAACTCTAAAATCAACGGTTGTATTGCTTAAAGCTTACTTCATCATAATTCTAAAGTTTAGGTGCTCGAGGAGACACTTGCTACATTCTTGAACATTAACTTCAAGACTGGCCTGGGCCTGAGCTCAGATAACAGGAAACTACAAATAAACGTACGTGGAGCGTTCATCATCACTGCCTTTCGAAGCAGCAAATTGCAAAGATTAACGTAGCAACTTAATTTCTATATTTACGACAAAGTACCATGACGCAACATCATCACAGTTTTTTATTTTATTTTATTTTTATTACGAGAATTAAATAAATAATTAAAAAAATGTAAATTTTCAATATTCAGTATACAAATTTCAGTATTGAGCTATTAAAAATTCAGTTATAAAAAAACATTCATTATGGGTAATTGTAACTTACAATCTTATCCTTAAATTCCCCAAATTATATAGGAGTGATCATCATCAATTACTCAGCAACTTCTCTTTTACATCTGTGTCCGTAAACTCTTGTCTGCAAACGAATTTGACAGAGACAAAGATGTCGGTCAGCTTACCTCATGCCTTTTAATTAAAGCAAGAAAACATAGATGCCACGTCCTTTCCTTACCATATTCCATCGCTTTTTCGTGAAGTAATTTATAAATTAGTCCCTTTCGGTTTAAAAAGTTAATTAATTAATTTTTTTCGTTTTAAAAACTAATCCTTGAATCTTTTAAATTCAATTTTTTGTCGTATCCATCAAATTAACACTTAATAATTAAAATATCATGTAATGTATATACACATTCATGGGATATGATTTGGCGTTTGATGAGAGAGAAAATAAATGGAGATTGATAAAATAAAAAGTAGAGATTTGAAAAAAAAAAGATTTGAGTATAAAAATAAAAATTTATTTAGTGCTTGAGGAGAGAGAAAGAGATCAGATGTGTGTAAATAAAAGAAATAATGCATAAAAAATAGCAATTTAGGTACAGAAAATACTGTAGCCATATTGCATTTTAAATTATTGACGAAATTAAAATATAAAGGATTAAATAATTAATTATTGAAACTAGAAGGACTAATTAACTTATTTTTGAAAACGAAGTGACTAATTTACAGTTTACTCCTTTTTCACGTGTTAATGGGCCCTACAGGCTGCAAGTAGCCTTCTAAGAAAGAGAATTTCCCAAGTTCCTTATCCTGATTCCTGTCTCCTTTCTTTTTTCTGTCTAGTTCTTATCCTCAGTCCAGTCCCAGTCCCCACAAAAAGCCTAATTAATAGTTTCAACCAAAAACATCAATGAAGCCAATTAGCCTTCAGGGCATTCTGACTGATCTTAAGATTTCAAGTTTCCTTTTTCCAGAATTGAGTAGAGATTCAAGAACCCTCTTCTTGACTAATTTCACAAATCAAGCCTCTTTCATATAGGTTATAATGATCCTTCACACGTCAAATCTTTCAGCAAAATTTCTTACAAAAACCCAAGTTGAGTGTGTCGAAAAATTCCAACTTGGCACGAACTTGCTAATGCAATAAAATAAATGTTGCAAAACTAATTTCACATTGGAATGAGCAAATAATTGGACAGTGTTCCATGAGACTCTTTTGACTAATTTCAAGATTTGGTTCTTTTTTTTTTCCCAGGAAGGTCAGGCTCCTTCAAAAGGTCATGCCTAATCTCTCAATAACCTTTCTTCCATTCCCAAGTTAAATCTGTCAAAAACCTTGAATGACTAATGCCAGTGATGGATGCACTAATTAACTTGCTAATGCAATGCGATCAATGTGCTTTCCCCCATTAAAAAACTCTGCTTCAAAACTGGAAATCTGACAACGTTTACGGAAAAAAAATTGAACAAACTGTATATGGCATTATAATTTAAGCTTATAATTCATTAAAATACTTAATCACATCTTAATTTCTTTTTTTTCCCTCCCTCCTGTGCAGGGAAAAAAAAAACACGACACCAAGGATTCAAGAATCCAGATTAGAATTACAACAAACAAACCCCACAAGCATTCTTAATCCTAAAATATACATCAGCCCCACAACTCAAGCTCTGTCCTCCCCACGGGCTGCAACACCACCAATCTCTCCGGTGTAGCAGGCAATCTTGCCTTGAAATTACTATAGAGCGGCAACTCATCTTCTCTGTGAACATCATCCTCAAAGTTAAGAGAATAACTTTCAGGATCATACCTAAAATCCTCCGAACCATGTCGTTTCCTGTTCTTTCCTCTCTTTCCAATCAAACCACGATACTTATCCTTGATTTCCAAATCATGGGCTGTCGATTTTAGCCAAGCATAGGGTGATCTTGGCGTCTGTGGCTGAAGCTTCCTGCAGTTATTCCTTTCTTGATCATGATGATCTTTATGAAGCATCTCATGCTGATGGATTATGTCGTTTGTGGTGAAGCAACAAAGGGAAGATTTTAGCTTGGCTTTTAGAGAAGATGGAGAGTCGCTATGTTCATTGATCATTGGCATTGCCATTTTTTCAAACAATAATTAACAACGGTTGTGACTGTCAAGGAGATGAAACGAAGCTGTATTTATACAGAAAAATTGATAGAAATGGAGGATAAGGACGTGTATTTCTGTGCACAACTGGAAAAATGCTAAGAAACCGTGGGTAGTGCGCGGCACTCTGGTAAGGTTTGTTACAAGAATCTAGGTTGGGTCGGTAAATAGTGAAGGTAAATAGTCTTGATTATTTCTGAAGCAATAAAAGGGAGAATTCAAGGAAATAAACAATTCAAAATAGTTAGAAAATAACCCATTCATCTAATTAATGTTTGACAATCAAGCATATAGTATAATTTATTTTATTATATTTTCTTATCCTTTTTGTTTTATGGTTATATAAAACATGAGTTGATGGTAATTCATTCCATTATCAATAATATTTCTGTTATTTTAAATTTTTACAGTAGACAAAATAAATATATAACTATAAACAAGTCCTTCAACTATAATGAAAATTGCAATCACGTCCCCAAAACTTCAAAATTAGGCAACTTTATCTTTACATTATAGCATAATGACTCAATGTTGCACCTCACGTTTGGGACCATTAAAATAAATTAACAAAATTCAAGAGTTGTAGTTTTTCTTCACATATCAAGATTAATATTATTTTTCATACTAGAACCGGCGAATGGTAAAATAATGTACACTAAAGTGATTTTGTGAGACTTATTTATTAAGAAGAAACATAAAAGTTGAGATAAAAAAAAAAAAAAAAAGAGTTTTATTGATGGATTTTGTTGCTTGGTTTTGATGGGGAGATAATAATGATTAAAATATGATTTAAGTTAGGGTAATTTGCTTACTTTTGCACTTTGGAGACTCAATTGAAAATCTCATTATAGTTGGGGACTATGTGTGAAAGAGTTCCATGGTTAGTTTATTATGTATTGAAATGGGATTTAACGGTTGCGGTAAGTATAGTTTGTTAATGTTAATTTCTAATTTTGGCGATTTAATATATTTGTTGGCTAAAAGGAGGATATTATATCGTTACATGAGGTGTTTTAGGGTTAGGGTTCTCTGTTCAGTACGGTTAATTAGTTAATGAATGACACTAACTAAAATGGGTTGAGCTGGCAGTTCATTAAGTGATTAAGCTTGTGGTCTATGATAGCTCATCTCTGATTATTATCTAATAATAATTAATTAATGAGACAAGACAACTATTACTGATAATGATACCATAATTAAAAAAATTAAAAAAATGCCTTGCCCCCTGATTTCCTAGAATGCTTTATATATATTTTAAATAAAATATATTTTCGGATTAGTTTACGCGTAATCTAAATTATTAATTTTTTTACAAATTATTTTAAAATTATACATTTTATATTGGTCTGATTCATTTAAAAATTAATAAATTTTTTATAGTACTAGCTCTAAATTTTAAACTCAAAAAATAAAAAAATAAAACAAAATTTTTAACTATCAAATCAAAATTAATTTGTTTGGGGTTATAGGGCGGTTTAAGGAATTAAAAAGACTTGATTTCTTGATAGAGTCCACATGGATTTAATAAATTTCTTAATGAAGTCAACCACAATCAACGTAAAATAAAAAATAGATCCATGTTTTATTCCAGCACTAAATGACAGAAAGAAATATTTTATTCCATTAAGTTAAAGCATTGGATCCGCTGGACTCTTTTTCATTTTCCATTTTATTTTATTATTCTGAATTTAAACTTATAAGAACATGGTAAGGAAAAACTCGCTTGGGAACGCAACCGTCCAAGTTAACATAACATATTGAAAACGGCACCGAAAAATGAATAAATTTTGGTACATCAAAATTGCTCGAAGGCATCAAACCATTGAAAAAGTGATAAAAATATATTTAATTCAGGGAGGCTAGTAAATCAGTGTCTAAATGCGGCGAAACCAGATTGCTGCAGTAGATTCCAAGTGACGAGGAGACACGTGGCATGCAGTCTTGAAGTTATGTTGTGCGGTTGAGGAACAGGATGTCTGCCGCCAAACGTTGGATTATGGCTGATATGAACATGTGATTGGAGAAATTTATTTAATTTTTTTCGAAATTAACGGCTATGAAATGAATATAACATGTTACATGACCAATACAGTGTCTTTGGTTTTCAATGCCGCTTTCAACTTTTAATTCCGTTATTAAAAGGGTATACAATCCTACTTCTCTTTCTTCCATTCTTTTACTTTTCTAGTTTCCTACGTTTGTTAAATATAAAATTTTGTATTTTCGATTAATTTTTCTGATCAAAAGGTCGTAATCTAAACACATATATGACATGTCATTTTAAGTGGTTTTTTCAATTAGAGATATTTTGATAAAAAATTTTAACAACGTGATTACGTTGTTAAAATTTTTTATCAAAATATCTCTAATTGAAAAAACCACTTAAAATGACATGTCATATATGTGTTTAACCTCGATAGTCAAGTATATGAGTTTTAACAATAAAAACAAAAATCCATCAACGTGATTTTCTGATCAAAAAATAAATAATATTTAAATATAATGGATGTAATTTTAAAAGTACAAATAAATTGAAGATCCTGTCTAGATTAAACTATCTCAAATCTTTATAGAATATTATTATCAACTCAACTCATCGACTTTTACAAATCTTACCTTTATTTACAATTTAACTTTTCTTAACATTTTATAAAAATTAAACATTGAACTAAAATTTTATGAATTCAATTATCAATAAACACGTCATTAAAAAAATGGATTCAAGTTTAGTTCTTCGATTTGAAAATTTATACAAAAATTAGAAAGTTCATTTATAACTAAGTTCGGATAAATTATCAAAATCGTCCAAAGTTAATCTGATAAACGTTTTCATTTCTATATTTTTTTTAAATCAAATACTTACCACTTTGTTTGGTCTACTCGACATTTATATCCTTTTTTTTTTTTTAATGAAACAGTTAGGCCCATAAAAAGATGCAAAATTATTAAAAATAAAAATATACTCGCGCTGTAATATACTATTGGGTGGTATTATTCCAAACACAGTGTTAATCTCAATAACTATAATAAAATGTTTAATTTGTATATATTGTCTTTTTATATATATATATATTTAGAGATAATAGAATATCTTCGAGTGAGTTTTCATATCAACCGAGTCTAAATTTATCATTTTCTGAACTAAGTTAACATCAATTTATTTTAGTTAAGATGGAACTATTCAATTTGAATTTGAATAATCAGTATAATACTTACTTTATTGAAGTTTTTAGCATGCATAGTTTATAGGTGTTATTATACCACTATTTTTTGTTACGTATCTTTTAATTTAACTATATAACCCATTTAGTTTATCGTTTGCTATGTAATTTCATCAAATCCTAATAAAAATAAAAAATAAAAGTGATGCTGATTGTATGAAAGACTAAACCAGATCAAACGATTATTTCCAATCATTTTCTTGGAGGAAGGATAGTTGAAGTGTTTAATGATTTAACAATAAATAAACTATTAAAAGAGCTCTAAAATATTAATCCAATTGAGGCACTAATTTAAATTCATCAAATTTTAAATTTTAAACAAAAGTTATAATCATGAATGTGTAGGTTCACTTACAAGAATGAATTCTAGAAACCAAGCATATAAATTATACTTTTGATTAAACATGGATTTTATTGCCATAAAATTCAATAAAAATTCACTACCTTATGGTTAATTATTTATTTTCAATAAAAATGAATATGATAACATTTAAATTCATAATCGTTTAATCAATTAAACTATACTTTTAATTAAATATGGATTTTAGATTGTGCTTATGGATGACCTAAGGGCACTCTATTAACTTATGCCAGAATATATACATGAAAGCAAATTATCAACTCCAAGAATATTTACCAATAGACTTATAGTCCAGTAGTAGTAAGTTTTTTGGCATTCACAAGGGGTCACGAGTTTAAATACAAAAAGAGATCATAATAACTTATTGGTTTTATAATGATGAACAATTCACTCCGTTATTTGTTAATACGATATTCTCTCGTATCTTGCTAACTCGTTAATTATCAATGCTAATTTTTTAACTCCCGACAATTGATATGAGCTGCAGGAAAAAAAATCAAGTCAAAGTTTTAATTAAAAATCGTTTTTTTTAGTTGATTAATTGTTTTTCTTGAGCACAAGATTGCTTTTGAAATATAAACTTTTCTAGTCAGAGTTAAAATTTCATAAAGTGTGGGGGCGAAATTTTAGTTTTAATAATTTGAAGAGGGATATGAAAAATTAAAGTACTGATGGGGCCTTCAAAATTCAAAGGGTGGTATTGTAATTGTATAATCTTCTGTTTATGTAACTGACAGCATTATCGCTTGACGCGCAAAAGCTCGTCGCCACGTGGCGACAAATGAATAGCGTCGGCATTATATCACAACGACGGCGTTGTAGAGTTTGCCCTTATGTTAAGAACTGAGAATATTGCTAATTGACTGATTAATTAGACATTAGACTTTGTAAAAAGTTTTAAACTTTGGAGGTAGAAATGATTGTTGAAAGGAGAAGGCGTGCTCGGATTAGCTCTTCTTCTGTCTTAATCAATTTTTTACGAGTTAATTTTTTGTCTCTAAATGTTTATTGAGATAATTATAGTATGAGGATTTTTTTATATATAAATTATAGCATCAGAATGTTAATGACTAAAAAATCAAGAATTGCAATATTTACGATAGTGATAGATTTGTGCAATATTTACGTGCAAAAGATTTTTTATTTAAAGAGATCTTTTAGAATATAAAATTATTCTTAACGTTTCATTTAATAACTCAGACTTTTAAACATCGTTACAACCATTAAATCTCATCTTTAAATATAAAAATATAATGAAAAGTTAAAAAAAAAAAAAAACCCAAAAAGATGGGGTGGCTTGAAAGAAGTTGTTATTGGGTTCTCATTGGATAAAAAAATAGGAATCACTTCTAAAAGTTCCAACGAGCCTTTCTTGATTTACATATTCACTGAGTCTAAAGATAATATGCTAAAATACAATATTCGTTTTCCATATATAGTATGATGTAATCATGGTGACGTTGTCAAGTTAATTAACTACCAGTTGGTTTTTCCACGCCATACAGCGAAATAAATTAAATATATTTATTTCAATTTAATAGTCTCTATTATATTATTGATTTACTAATATATATTAAATTAAAGATAAAAGTTAAAATTTTATTTAATTTCTTAATTTTTAATTAAATTTTGTATTTCATTCACTTTTCTTCATGTTCTTTTATAGATTTTGTTGTTAAAAAAACACGATTCGTTTTTCGTTATGCATTTATTCTTAAATAAAAACTTACAATAATATAAATATAATTTTTTAAAAAATAATTTAATAGTTTTTCATCGATTGCATCGAAAAAATAAATTAATGATCAATATAAAAACTTATAAACAAATTAGCTAACAAATATTTTTTAATTTTTTTTGATACACAAACAAACAAAATGATTAATAATATTAATATAAAAAGAAGTATTTAAATTATTAGGTGATTCTTTTAAAATATTATTTTAATCAAAATAAATTAATTTTAGAATATTAAAAACAATTAATAGGGAATATCATTTTTAAATATAAAAAATGTAATGGAAAAGTATGTATAAAAAAAAAAGAAGACCAAAATGACGGGGTGGCTTTAAGGAAGTTGTTGTTTGGTTCTCATTGGATTAAAAAATAGAAATGACTTCTAAAAGTTCCAACTAACCTTTCTTGATTTATGCATTCACTGAGTCCGAAGATAATATATTAAGTCGCAATATTCGATTTTCATGTATAGTATGATGTAATCCCAGTGATGTTATCAAATTAGTTAAACATTAGTTGGTTTTTCATGCTATATAGTTGGCCGAACTAAATATATTTATTTCAGTTTAATAGTATATATTATATTGTCAATCTACTAATATATATTAAATTAAAGATAAAAGATAAAATTTTATATAATTTCATAATTTTTAATCAAATTTTATATTTCATTCATTTATCTTTATATTTTTCATAGCCTTTGTTATTAAAAAAACACAATTTGTTTTTCTTTGTGTATTCATTCTTAAAGAAAAACATGTAATAATATAAATATAAAATTTTAAAAAACATCTTAACATTTTTTTTATAAGATTGCATCAAAGCAATGAAGCAACAATCAATATAAAAACTTGTATAAAAAATAACTAACGAAACTTTTTTAACTCTTTGAAAATATGTGAATTTGATTTATATATATGTTTATTTACAAAACAGATCAATAACATTAGCATAAAAATATACATATTTGAATTATTTGGTGGTTCTTTCAAAATATTATTCTAATTAAAATAAAATAATTTTATAATATCAAAAATAATTAATTAGAAATAATATCTTTAAATATAAAAATATAATGGAAAAGTAAAATAAAATAAAAAAACAGTAAAATAGAAGGGGTGGCTTGAAGGAAGTTGTTGTTGGTTCTCATTGGATAAAAAAGTAGAAATGACTTCTAAAAGTTCCAGAGAACCTTTCTTGATTTACACATTCATTAAGTTTAAAGATAACATGCCAAACCATAGTATTCGATTTCCATGTATAGGAAGATGCTATAATGGTAATATTATTAGATCAGTTAACTACTAATTAGTTTCTAGCGTTATGCATCATACTAAATTAAACATATTTATTTCAGTTTAATAACTCTGTATTATGCTATCGATCTACTAATATATGTTAAATTAAAGATAAAACATAAAAATTCATTTAATTTCATATTTTTTAATTAATTTTTTTTCATTAGATTGCATTGAAGAGATAAAGCAACAGCTTAATATAAAAACTTGTATACAAATCAACCATCGATTTTTTTTAAATTTTTTTTGAAAATATGTACATTTGATTTATATATATTTATTTACAAAACAATCAATAATATTGGTATAAAAAAGATTTATTTAAATTATTAGGTGATTTTTTTAAAATATTATTTTAATTAAAATAAATTAATTTTAGAATATTAAAAATAATTAATAGGAAATAACATTTTTAAAAATAAAAATACAATGAAAAAAAAAAACACCAAGATGATGGGGTGGCTTGAAGGAATTTGTTTTTGGGTTCTCGATGGATAAAAAAATAGAAATGACTTCTAAAAGTTCCAACGGACCTTTCTTGGTCTACACATCCACTAAGTTTGAAGATAATATGCTAAACCGCGATATTCGATTTTCATGTACAGTATGATGTAATCATAGTGATACTATCAAGTTAGTTAACTATTAGTTGATTTCTCGTGCTACATAGTCGGTCGAATTAAATATATTTATTTCGAGTTCAATACATTGTTGTCAATCTACTAATATATATTTAATTAAAGATAAAAAATAAATTTTCATTTAATTTCACAAATTTTAATCAAATTTTGTATTTCATTCATTATTCTTTATATTTTTCATAGCTTTTGTTGTTAAAAAAACACGATCCGTTTTTCGTTATGCATTTATTTTTAAATAAAAACATGCAATAATATAAATATAAAATTTTAAAAAATATTTTAATATTTTTTCATAAGATTGCATTGAAGTAATAAAGCAAAAGTCAATATAAAAACTTGTATAAAGAATAACTAATGGAATGTTTTTTAACTTTTTGAATATATGTGTGTGTTTACAAAACAATCAATAATATTAGCATAAAAATATATATTTAAATTATTAGGTGGTTATTTTAAAATATTATTTTAATTAAAATAAATTAATTTTATAATATTTAAAATAATCAATAGGAAATAGCACCTTTAAATATAAAAAATATAATGGAAAAAGTAAAAAAAAAAACTCAAAAAGATGGGTGGCTTGAAGGAAGTTGTTGTTGGTTCTCATTGATAAAAAAATAGAAATGACTTCTAAAAGTTTCGAAGAACCTTTCTTGATTTACACATTCATCAAGTCTAAAGATAATATGCTAAACCATAATATTCGATTTCCATGTATGGTATGATGTTATCATGGTAATGTTATTAAGTTAGTTAAGCTGTAAAATTTTATAATACTCAAAGAGTAACTAATGTACTTATATAGTAGTTACTCTATGGACTCATTCCGTAGAAAGAGACGGACACGGAAAGGATAGAGAAGGATGAGAGAGAAAATTAAAAAAAATTATAGGAAAGAGTAAATTTAAAAAAATTTGAATCAATGTGAAAATCTTTTTATCTCTTTTAATTGATCCATGTGTCATTTTTTTATGTGTCTATCTTTCTCTTCAAAAGTGAGCCCATTGAGTAATTATTATATATGTACGGTAGTTACTCATTGAGTATTATAAAATTTCTTAATTAACTGCTAATTGGTTTCTCGCATTGCGCATTAGACTAAACTAAACATATTTATTTCAGTTTAATAGTATATTAGTATGTATTATGCTATAGGTCTACTAATATATATTAGCTTAAAGATAAAACATAAAATTTCATTTAATTTCATAAATTTTAATTAAATTTTGTATTTCATTCATTATTCTTTGTGTTTTTCATATATTCTTTTGTTAAAAAAACATGATTCGTTTTTCATTTTTCATCAATTCTTAAACAAAAACCTGCAATAATATAAATATATTTTTTAAAAATATTTTAATATATATATCGACACACGCACACATAAAACAATCAACAATATTAGCATAAAAAGATATATTTGGATTATTAGGTGATTTTTTAAAATATTATTTTAATTAAAATAAATTAATTTTAGAATATTAAAAGTAATTAATAGGAAATAGTTGGTGTCACGTGTGTAGATGTATAGTTAATTTTGTATTTTATTCATTATTCTTTGTGTTTTTCATATATTATATTGTTAAAAAAACATGATTTGTTTTTCATTTTTCATTAATTCTTAAACCAAAACCTGCAATAATATAAATATTTTTTTAATAATATTGCATTGAAGAAATAAAGCAACAAATAATATAAAAACTTGTATAAAAATTAACTAACGAAATCTTTTTAACTTCTTGAAAATATGTACTTTTGATATATATATACACACACACACACACACACACACACACATACATATCGACACACGCACACATAAAACAATCGATAATATTAACATAAAAAGATATATTTGAATTATTAGGTGGTTTTTTAAAATATTATTTTAATTAAGATAAATTAATTTTATAATATTAAAAGTAATTAATAGTATAGTTAATTTTCAATAAAATTTCATAATCTCAATATTTTTTTATATACGTACATTATGATCATACTCGGTAGACCGGAATGTACATTATAAATTAAAAAACATGTTTAAAAACATAAGTTATAAGAAATACATTGAAGTCAATAGAGTGCAATAAAACAACTAAAAAATTTATTCAAAAGAGAAAAAAATTGATTATATCTAGAATAAGGCAAAGAAATATGCGAATTCTATTATTTATTAAAAATATATATTAAAAATTCATATATGGAGAAAAATAAATCATATTTATTAAAAAATAAATTTACATAAAAATAAAAAAAATTGATGAGAATTTTAATAATAAATGACAAATTTAAGAGATTAATTTTAAACAATAAAAATATGTAATCCAATATATGTGTTTGTTCTAAAATTAAAAAAACACGAGAGGCCTAAAACATCTTTTTAAAAATATGAGTGACCAAAAACATATTTTGAAAAAATGAGAAACAAAAATGGACTGATTAAATACACGAGGTGTCACAATATTTTTAAAAAACATGAGGATTTAAAAATAATTTTTTCAAAAAATAAGGGACCATAAAGGAATAAAGTGTAAAATTTATAAATGAATGTCCAAAAACCATGAAAAAATTAAAAAATGCCATTATCAAAAATTATAAAAACTACCAACCATAAACAGTAATTGAATAGTAATCTGAGCAAATGAACAATGATTTCTATTTACTTGCCCCGAATATTTTAGTGATTTAATTAATGATCCCAAGAAAATGTCTCAAAAGTAGAATATATACAATAGTCGCTTAATGAGCTCATTTTTAAAGAGAGAGAGGAAAAAAAAATCAGCAATGAAACTTATTAATCAGCAAAAATAGACAAAAATGATTTTAAAAACAAATCACAAAAACATGAAAGTATATGAATTTTAGACGCAACCGCCCTTTAAAAAATGAAAATGCTTGACGAGACCAATTATGTTACTGTGTAATCAAAATTTTGCTACAACCTGCATGAAATACGTTTCCTTGCATTTTGCTTGTCTATCTCTTAGAACTATAAAGACAAGAAGCCAGAGATTTGCAAGAGATTGACCACAAGAAAGGGAAAAAAGGAAAAAGGAAAGAAAGAAGAGATTGTTAGACCTTTAAAATCGCAAAATATGGTTAACATGCAGAGCATCAAGTCTATAACCCTTCACCCAATGGGCTCGACTTGTTTATCTCTTTTACTAATCCCTTAAGATTGTTATACCTTTCCTAACCCGGCCTTCATGCCTGTATCTCTAAAGCCCATTTTTGTATTTCGGCTTTATAGCCCATATGCACTCAATTAGCTTTCTTCTATCTAAAAATAAAGTAGCTGATGATACTATTTGTCTTGAAATATTTTACCCTACTGTATTTTTCAAACAACATTGACCCCATCATACAGAAATTTCACCCTAGAGTGATTCCACAGGTGGTAGATGGATGTTCCACACACATCGATTTCTCTTATAAATGCTAAGGAGTTATAACTCAATTAATATTATCGTCTCATCTTTTATTAATTGGTTTTGGGTTCTGAGTCTAATAATAAAAAAGCTTCTCTTATATATGCATTGGCACCAGTTCTTGGGATACCAATTTTTGTCCCACCGGAATGAAGAATGAGCACCATTCGGTTAAAACAAAAAATCAAACCGAATCATACTAAATTGGTAATTTCGATTCGGTTTTATATAAAAAATTTGAAAAAAAAATTGAAATTATTTTAGCTCGGTTTGGTTTTTTTTTTTTTAAAAATTAGGTTTTCACCGAAAACCAAATTAGTGTTTTTTTTTTTTTAACACACACACCCACGGCTCATTGCATTTTCTTATAATTTTTTTTTTTTGCTAAAACTTCAAAACAAGCTATTAGCATTCCTTAAAAATCAAATTTTTTTTTTTAAAGTGGCATTTCAGCTTGATTCAAGAGAAAATTCAGAAGAAAAGATGCAAAAAAAAAAAAAAAAAATCAGTTTTTAACAAAAACTCAAACAAAAAAATTCGGTTTTTTAAGCAAAAAAACTGAACCTCAATTCGATTTGATTTCGATTTTTATTTTAGTCAATTCGATTCATAACAAAAAAATCGAAATTGAATAAAAAAATCGAATAATTACTCCTAAAAATTCAAAATGCGAGGTTATCTCTGCTTTTATTCCCTTAGATAACTGCCTGTTTTGAGTGACTGGGAGTAAGGGGTAACCAGTACATCTATTGCCTTGGCAACCATGGACATTGACTTTTTTCCAACATAACATTGCGTGTTGCTAGTAATGCACAGCTGCTTCGCCTGGAACATGACAATTAACCCCAGCAGAACATTAGGAGTTCATATTCAAGAAAGGCCTGTTGAATGAATGATACAAAGCATAAAAAGCATATCCATTTTGTAATTTCTCTTTAAGTTACATTTTATTATTCTTATCAAAATGACAAACCTACGTTCTTGGGGTAATTGATTTCATTTTCGTATAAATATCCCTTACAGAAATGAAATAGCATATCAAAATGAACGAAAGGCCTTCCACCTTAGTAGCTTCCAACTTGCTTCATTTGCAAGATCTCAAGCACTGATGGAACTTCAGAGCTGCTTGCAGAAATTGCCTGCATGCAAGCAAAAGAATCTAATTAGAAGATAACACTTTGGAGAAAGAGAAAAAAAGAAAAGCATTATAAAACTAGTTAAACTTGCCTCCAAGTCTAAATGGATCCTCCCATAACAACTTATTAGACACATCGCATATGAGGTTGGGAACTAGAAACGTCCATTCATCTCCTTAAATAATTGCTTCAGAATCACTTATGTTGGTCTCAGGACTTCCACCTTCTTTTGCAGTAGATCGAGAGGAAGTATTAGACCTGGAGAAACCCCTAAACAGTAGAGGAAGCTGAGCAGAAATGGGTGCTCGAGAATCCGCAAACATGTCCATGGTTTGGAAGGACGAAGCCTCGTATTCTTATGAAAGAGAGAGAAGATACCAGTTGGGCAAGCAGACTATTCCCGAGGTCACTACAGTTGAACAGAGTGGAAACTGGAAAATACCATCCCTCACAAAAGTTAACGAGAAACGAAGAAGTTCATGAAATGGACACAATATACATATTTATATATGTTTTGATGTATCATCAAACAATTTTTCATATCAACTTAGACTAAATACATTACTTAAAAAAATAATTATTTAATCTCTTTATTATATTTAATTTAATATTATTTTATTTTTTAAAAATATCATATTTTTTATACTTTGTATTTATTTTTTACTTTTTATCTACTAAGATAATTTAAAAAATAAAAAGGATTTGTATAAAAAACATTTAAAAATATAAAGACTAAATAATTAATTTTTTAAATAAAAAATTAATATAGAGATTAAATAATTAATTTTTTAAACAAAGAGACTAATTAATTCGTTTGTCAAACCGAGAGGGATTAATTTATAATTTTTTCGTAATTAAATTGATAGAGGGTAACAGTTGAGAGGTATTTTTGTAGTTAACCCATAAATTTTATTCGGAGCTCTAGTGTGTGGTAAGGACTCCTCTGGAAGCCTCCAAAAACTAGTATTCAAAAACCTTTCAGAAACTGTCAACTAAAAACTCCGGCCAACTCTCTTTTCTGCTCCGGCATCGCCCCTACTCGGATCCTGAGGACGAGTCAGTGCCAACCGTGGACCTTCCTCTTTCTAAGCATTTGAAATCAATCTAGCAACTTCCTGAAGACCTAATTCCACTTCCATGGTAAAAATCACTCCTTCTCTCTCTCTCTCGCAAAAAAAAAATAAAAACCTCTAAAATTCTAACCCTTCTCTCTTCGCAGGAACAGCAACAACAGCAACAAACTCCATCGCTGGACGATTGCTTGAAGCTATTGAAAGGCGAGAGAGACGAGCAACGCCTTGCCGGTCTTCTTCTAGTGACCAAGTTTTGCAAAGGAGACGACGTCGTTGCTCTTTGTAAAGTTTACGAAGCAGTTGGTGTTCAATTTCTCGACCGACTCTTAAGAACTGGTAATGCATTTTTTTTTTCAATTGAAAATAATTTAATTACTGGTTTTTATTTTCATTATGTTGAAATTGAGAATTTTAATTTATGAGTTTTTAATTTGTATGTGTTTGTTTGTCTATTTACTGGGTTAGGTATGGGTAAAGGGAGTACTAGTGGAGGAGACAATAGGGACGTGTATTTGCAGTTATCAGTTACGGTTCTGGCTGCATTCTGTCGTGTGCATGAGATTGCTGCATCGAAAGATATGGTTTCCAAGATTCCGTTGATAGTGGAAATAATGCCAGTGTAAGCTTCTTTTTCTTTAGTTCATTGGAAGTAAGATTTTGTTGATATTGGAAATAATGCCAGAAACCTGCGTCCCATTTCCTGAATTCGCTAGTAATTTGTTCTACTCTCACAAAATATTCATCTTATAATGCTCTCTCATGAGATATTGCCTGGGATATTTTTTTGTGGCCGCCTTAGTTATCATTGATTTTGCTTTTTGGGTTATCGTCAGTTGCTGACTTAGTGTTTGTCTTTCAAATAACAGATCAGGTTCGCCCGTTCTTGAAGAGTGCTATGAGTTTTTATATCTGGTAACAACTTCGTGTGAGGATGGAGCCACCACACTGTATGAGTCTGGAGGCATGAAAGTGCTAGCTTCTCAAATTAGTTCCTTGCCTGATGGTAATTAACCTTATTTTTATTTTTTTTGTTGGCAATCGTCAAGATATCTTAATTGTTATTATTGCGTGTAGAAATTTATGTGCTTCCTTGAGCGGCAGCCTGGCTATGTGAGTAAACTGTAGTTCCTTGGTTAACATTGTTGTAACGTCTTTGCATCCATTTTGAAAGTAAGATGTGTTTTGTCATGTGGGATGGAGGATTTTTTCTCCAAAGTTTTTTGTTCTGAAGGTATCATGCAAAATCCTGCAGGTTCTCATATGATGGAGCTGGCTATGAAAATTGTACAATCTATGCTAGGCAAACTGTCTCAGGATGTTATTACCAATAGCTATGTCTCAGAGCTATCAACGGTGGTGAGTTCAAGGTTAATATGGACATTTGCTTTATTGTTTCACATGTTAAAGCTCTTTATCTGTTGGAGGTTTGCAGTTTGTGTTTGAAGAATGGGCCTTTCCTTAACCTCCAGCTATCTTGTTTTGGATCCAAAAGTGTAAAGATTGTTTTCTTGTTTCCTCTAGGTGGCTACAGTAGCAAGACAATTTGCTGTGTTGCACAATTCTCTGAAATTTGAAGCACTTCATCTACTCTCTGACATCTTCTCATCAAAGTATTCGGTATGTTATTATGTTTCATGAATTGTTACTGTTTCAGGAAGAATTTGTTTAGCCAAACTGTACAATGAATATGAGACAGTTAGGGTATAAACCATGCAACTAATATTACACACTAAATTTGTTGCAAAAGAACAGGCTTAAAAATGTCAACTTGGATGGGGAATAAATTAGTTGAAGAAAGTAGAGCCCAGATTGAATGGCCGAACTCAACATGCAAACAACTCTCAATACTCTGTCTTGGCTTTCAATTTTTTTGCGATTTTCAGAAATCTTGACCAAAATAGGATTAGCAAATATTTTTTTGAACTAAAGATTGAATGGAAGTGGTAATTGATAGTTTGACACTTATATCATAGATGGGGTCTTAGCTCATTCTTTTGTTTTTGGTCCTTTGGTACCTGGTTTCAGTATCATTAATTCTATGAAGGTTCAAATTTCTTTTCGTCTTAAAGCAATATTGGAGAATTCTTGGCTTGATTAGTGCACTGGGGCATGGAAGGTATCTCACGTCTACTATTGCTATTTGAAACTTAATCTTATCGCAGCATTTTCTTGCTGTTTCAGGAACCACTTTGTGATGCATTGCGTCTAATGGCAGGCAACAAATGGCCAGATTATGTGCGTGCTGGGATTGCGGGCATTTTACAGAATCGTGTAGGTATAGTACTTATATTATTTCTCCTTCTATATAATTTCACTTTTAAAGCACCACACTATCTTTCATGCTTGGTAACTTGGAAAGTTGTGGGTGTTTGAACAAATGTGAAGGTGCATAGCTTTCTCATTGAGTGACCTCTTCAATTAACCAGCTTGGCATATTTTTTGGGTTGGGAGTTATTTCATCTACTAATTTTTGGTGAGGAATCTCTGACATTGGCATAATTGTTACCCTTTGATTCTCTCTGTTTTCTCTTAGGTTGGATATGGTATACCTGATATGTGGTTGTATTTTAAATAATCACCTGATGCATAGGTGGGTTTGGCATCAGTGGGAAATTGCGAACACCTTTATACCTGTTGTGGAGCACTTGGAAATTAATCTGTTAAAGGACTGTTGCGCATTTGAGATGGGAGTGTGATTTTAACAATTTTTCTTTCAATCTTTCATAAAGGAATAGTGATTAAAACCCTCTTGTACAGTGCTCCTATATAGTTTGAGCAGGATCTAGAAATTGTATGAATTCTGCTAGCGTTAAATGTGCTCTTTTCTCCGTTTATTTCATGGTCATTGAATGACTAGTTAGCATAATGAGAAAGAAAATTCAATTTTTCTTTTTTCATTTATGCAATATGCTTAGAGCATGCACTTTTAATTTTAGATGATATATTTATTTATGTCATTTAATTCGCAGCACCTGCTGAAAAGCTTCATGCCCTTATTTTGGCTGAATCTGTGATATCTATAATGGGGGAAGGCTGGCTGCTCGGTCAGCCAAACTTAACCGATGTACCAGAATCCATACCAGCTGACCGGTATGTTATGTGTAAATTGTGTTGCTTCTTTATGAGTAATTTTGTTTTGGAATATGCGTAATATTCATACCAGTTTGTTTTCAGGTGCTTGCTGCTTGTCTTGGAGTCGGCAAGGGTTGAAGTTGCTGTTTTGCTGAATGACCTGGCCTATTTGAAATATGAAGCTTCCAAGGATACTTCGACAACTGCTGAAAATATTATCTTAAAGCAACGAAATGTGGCAATTGCCTTTTCCTTGATAGAGAGGATAATCAAATTGACATCGACCATGGATGGAGATGAAGGTAAACAAAGTTAAGTTGCTAGCATGTGGGTCTGATGCTCTAATTGACATGAAGATAAGATAGTCATCTTGCCATCTTTAAAAGTTTGCAAATATCAAGTCTATTCGGCATATGACACAACAAATACATATGAATTTTGCATCAATTTCTCATTTATTGTCATTTATTTGCATTGAGTGCTTTGTTTATGAAGAGCATGTGTGACTGTAATCTTTAGGCAACAGGAAATTCAATTTGATTATAAAAAACTCTAAACATTAGTTATAGCGTGAGAGATCATTAACCAGTTTGAGGTCCACCAATAACCTCTATTTAGGCATGAAAGCTCATGCTTCATTGGATATTTCTCCCATTCTTAAACTCTCATTAGCTTCAGTCGCACACCTCATTCCCATAGTCATGTTTTCACCACGTGCTTTTATTCATCTATGTGGAACTTAATTTTTTTAATTTAACTTTATGTAGGGAATATTATTGGTGAAAAAACTTTAATCAAGATGATCAATGGGATTAACGAGACGATTAATGTCGTTCTAGAGTATCTACAAGATGCCAAGGTAATGACTTTCTTTTTGTTGTTAAAATTTGTCATCATACTCTTGCATTGACGGTTGTGATCCTTCCATCTTCAGGAACATGGGCAAAAGAAAGGAAATGATCTTCTTGCATCTGTACGAGTGGTTGGGAGGTGTGTTGTATGACACAAACTTTCTTGCATCAGAAACACGGGCAAAACTAATTTTGTTGTAATTGTTGGTGTAAAAAATAAATTGTAACTGTAAGAAATCGCTACAATCACTAATGCCTTAAATAATGTCCTGCTATACAGATACCATGAAATGGTGAACTAATAATATCCATGTTCAAATAAACCTCCACCCTATTGGTGTTAACTACATTGTGTGCCTTGCTATTTTGAATTTGAGATAGTTCCAGAGATAGGTGGTATTGCCTTGTCTCTAATTACAATTCCAAGTTATTGTTTAATTATATTGATGCTAATGGTTGTGGACAGGTTGTCTCATTACATGCTGTTTATTTCCTATTTTCTGAGCGAATAAAAAGTTTACTTTTTTCTGATGACACATTCTGCTAGTGCATTTACTGAAGGAGCTGTCATTATGCTATAAGTGGACTAACGTTTCTGTTTGTTTAAAGCTATCTTGCAGAAACACCTGATGCATGCAGAGAAAAAGTTAGAGAGCTTTTGAGCTATATGCTGACAATTGAAGGTGAAGATGAACCAAGGTCTGTGAATATAGTTTTGCAGCAGGCTGTGATGTTAGTATTCTCAATATGTACTCTGATAATAACTTTGCCCATGTTATTTTGAAGGACAGCCCCTTTCACTCTGTATCTTTTCTACTTCCAATGATCTGTCAAATTACAATGGAGATTGAAGGATGTGAAGCTTTGATTTGTTCTGGAGGATACAAAGCTGTAAGTTGATCTAGTTTTCAGCTAAATGTACTTTCTTGGTTAACCTTTTTTGTTGTAACACATGATGACATTGATTAAAATAGCTGCTCTTCCTTCTATAATAATTTGTTCTTAGTGCCTTGTATAAAGATCACTGGAGGTATGATTTTTTGGAAATGTATCAAATGCTTAATGCATTGTATTCGCTCATCCCCTTCGATTGAATGCGCTATCTATCCGGTCCAGTACAGTGGTATTTGCTGAGTTGAGAAATAATGTTATTACAAGATCTTCTTCCCTTAGGCTTATCCCATTATCTCTCCGTCATTGGATGTATGGCGAAGGGAACAAGCAATGGCACAACATGTGAAAGCCATTTTGTGATAGTATGGAGTTATGTTGTTTTTCCTACTTTCCACTTTGAAATCAAGCCAGTGCTGGGACAAAGGTGACAGAGGGGCAGCGAGTGGGGTTGGCAGTAATGGCTGTTTCCCTCTCCTCTAGCAAACAAGTCCTTGGGCAAAACTGGTTCAACCTGTATAATTTATTTATTTTTTTATTTTTTAAGTTTTGAGTTGGGTCCTTGATCCCTGTCTCAAGTGAAAGCATTGTTTCCGGGTTGAATAGGTCATTCGTGATGGGCTTCAAGCTGCTGCCTATACTTCAACATCTAACTTTTCACCAGAAGCCAATTTCTTTTCTCATGGAAAAAGAATTGTAGGGCAAAAATAACATTATTGGTTCATTTTTCAGGTTACAGAATGCCTTGTAAAGCTGATTGGACCAAGTGGTAACATGTTTGGAGATAATGATTGCACCTTCTTGGCATGTGATACAATATTGAATTTGCTGTTGAAGGTAGCGTTGTCTTTATAGCAACCTGAATTTTTATTGGCATTAAGCATTATTGACAATTATTTTTGGTTCTTATGTTTTTTTATTTTTTTCTTTAATCAATAGAAAGAACAGGTGCAATTTCAAATGGATGAATCAACCTTCATTGATCTTTTGAAAGCCTTAGGATATTGGGCAGGTAAATACTAATAGCTTTATTCAGGAATTGTCATCTTGCTATATTTAATGAAAGTCAGAATTTCATCTTCTTATGTCTTCGCGCATGCCTGCATTCTGGTGCATGTGGATGTGGGTGACTTGGGAGTGAGGTTTTTCATATGTCCTTTGATGTGCTCTATTTACAAGTAGTTTGATCTTTATGCATCATTATTTCCTAACGGAGATCCTGGTCTTGGTTTGTACAGGGGATGCTAATGACCTCTCTGTTATTATCATGGCTTCAAGCATTTGTGCTCTGATATTTGATTATGCATCAGAGGAGGCTCTTCTAAATCATCCCAACTTCGACAGTAACACTCTGCATAAACTATATAAAATGATTGCAAGAAGTTTGGCTTCTTGTAAGCAGGTAAAAACCTATGTTGTTTAGCAGTGTTACAACTGCAATTTTTAACGCTTAAAGATGGCATCAGGATGTTCCCTCTTCCTAGAAATAACACCTTTCATCATATTACTACTTGATTACCGGCTTACAAGTTTGTCAATTGAATTCATTTCAGGATATGTCTGATTTTGTCAGAGAAGAAACGGATCTTCTCGAGATTGTTACTTCAGGTCTGTATTTGTCACTTGAAAGCATCAGCTAGTTTGGACCAGTCTGTTTTTGCTTGTTATGCCATTTCCCATCTTTTTTTCACTCTCTTGACTGATTTTATTTTTCCTAAGTTCGTGGTTGGATACTGACTACTTAGACTTGATAAATTGGACCCTTTTTGCAGGATTTTCACGGTGGGCACATCGGTTCCCTCATTTAAGAGAGGCACTTGAGAGTACTTAGTAGCCAAATGTCGATTTTCATGTGACATATGATGTAATTATGCGAATGTGATCTTTTGTAGTAAAAAATTTTTTGGTAAACAATTTCACTGTCGTCTTTAAATTTTCGCCTACACAGGAAATCTTATCTCATGTCTTATAACACTGCTGATTGTGAAAATCTCGAGTTAAAAGAGGAAAAGCTAGTAAAGTTTACCAAGAGCAAGCTTTAGTATAAGATGACTGGCAGCTAAACTCAGGACTGGCTCTAGCTACATTAGAGTTCGTATTACTACTTGTGACCATCAAATCGATAACAAAACCATAGCTTTTTCAAGGGCGATGACAAGTGCTTGTGCTTCGTCATGGAAAGAAAGAAATCTAAACACCTTATGACAAATATATCTTTTCAGATCAACTAATAAGAAAAAAGCACTGCTAGCCATTGTCCTGGTCAAATAATATTTTTATTGAAAACATCATCGTAATTGATGAGAAATCTCGATTAGAAAAAGGAAAAGCCATTGAAGAAAGGAAAAAAAAAAAACAGAAAAACCTTTCAGAATGGAGAAAAGCAAGCAACTCGAAAACCTTTCTAACAAGCAAATCATGAGAGACAGAAGGCTACTTAATATGAGAAATCTCAATTGATGAGAACCTTCAATACATTGAAAACATCATCATAATTGATGAGAAATCTCAATTAGAAAATGAAAAACCCATTTAATCATCTCTTAGCTAGCTCCTTAATATAAGGAAAAAAAAACCCTCCAGATTGGTAAAAGGCAAGCAACTCGAAAACCTTTCTAATAAGCAAATCCTAAGAGATAGAAGGCTAGCAGTACACCGGAAGTCCAAAACAGATTACTTAAATAAAGATGTGAAGCACTGCTAGGTTCTGAGTTCTGAGGTGATGGAGCAGGACTCAGATTTGAAGCTGCTGGCGAGCAATGAAAATATCAATCTTTTGTCCCGCAAGGCAGTGACCAGGTTAACCACATATGAAGTAAAAGTGGCCAAGTTTTTCAAGAGTGACTGTATCGGAGCCGTTGGTGTAAGTAGCTATTGGGGACGTAGCATTGCATGACTCGTAACCTTCGTGCGTAACTTGCTTCACATTGTGAAATTGGTTGTTGTGATTGAAAACGAGAGTATCCCCAACGTGAAAATTCTTGTTGGCAACCCATTCTTGGTAATCGATTTGACCCATGCTTGTCCACCCTGCAGAGTCCCCGACTTAGTAAACAGCAGCCATGGAAACTCCACCACTAATGGCCATCATTAGAAAGAAAATAATCACCATACTTTTCAAGAAAGCCATGATTGGAAGACAAGGAGAGAATGGCTGTGAGAAAGCTACTAAACAAGGAGAGAGCAATGAGAGAGATTGCTGAGATTTTCTTGAATGAGAAAAAAGGCCTCAGGTATCCCTTTATATATACTGGTGATCTAATCCGTATCGTGGAAAGATGGAGTTTTTGATTTATGGAATCCGAATTACTGAAGGATAAGCATTAAAGAAATAGGAATGTAATCTACTTTTTGTTGGGAATTCTCGCTTGAGTCCTTAGCTTCATTCACGGTAATTAATTCCATCCAAGTTGTTCATTCTTTCATAATAAAAAACGACATCATTTTCCACGAAACTTGACACTTTATGGTAAAACCTTGTGATTGTATAGACAAAAAAGCTCATCGAGAATTTTTCAATACCTTGAGAACCCAATTTGGAAGACATTTCTGTAGTTTGTCCTAAATAGTAAATAAAATTAAACATTGTTGGGCAATTGTAATATGCGTGTGTGTATATATATTTGTTAATTTCTTGGGGTCTTCATCTGCTTGGTCTAGTGATTCTATTTCTTATAACCTCAAGGACCTTTTGTCTTTGTAGTTCAAGAAGTCAGGAAAAGGAAAGATACAGGAAAGGGAGGCAGCAGGTTTTGGAAGAGTATTCGCTTGGGGTCAAGACACCAAGAGAAACAAATCCAAGGTTCAACGATCATCTCTTTTACTGTTGATATTTTGAGTAATGGAATAGGTTTTTTTATACTCACTTGAAAATGAAGGCTATTTCATTGTTCTTGAACTTTAGTTTTGCTCAGAATCAGGGGTCAACCTTTTGTTTTATAAGCTGTGTAGTTAGTGGTGGGTTATTATCCTTTAACCTGGATTGTAGTTTGTGGTATTTCAATTCCAATAACTCAAAAAAACAGAAATCATTGTGTGTGTTTTAGTCCCAGTTTATTAATGTTTGTAACTGCTAGTCGGTGATTGCAAACATTGGTTCTATCTGTAGATATGCGTGGCACCGAGTTCAATAATAATTTTGTTCCAAATTCTTTATGATAAATTTGCTTCGTTGTGCGGGGTTGCATAAGTTCTTTTGACAACGAGCATGGCTAGTGCTTTAATGTGCTGGGACATATATCGATAAGAAGTGCCCATTTACAGACATCGATTCTGTCAGAATTTGAATATAAGAACCATCATTATGTCAAAAGATGACAGAGGTAGGATGAATTTTGCCTATTTGCGGTTTCCTTGTTTCTGACTATGAGATCATGCGTTGCCATACGGAGTTGTTTGGCACTTTAACATTCCAGAACATATTATTATTGGTTAATAATAATGAAAATTCTATCTGTGGATTCGGGTGTTGTTAATCTACATGCGACCATTTTTGTTTTTGGTTGCATCTTAAAAGGCAATTGCAAGCTTGGATTTAAACTATCCTTCAACCCCATTTTTGTGTGTGTGTGTGTGTGTTTTTATTTTATTTTTTATTTTGGTTTAAACAGGATCACTGATAATAATATTAATATTAGACAAATTAGTCTTTAATTAAAAATAAAATTAATTGCACAAGCATATTAAGGTTAGACAAATCTGCATTTTGAGGTCGATTATAAGTGCATGATCTTTGTCACGGAAAGAGAGAAATCAAAACACCTTCATATGACAAATATCTGTTCATATCAACTAACAAGAAAGAGTACTGCCATCCATTATCCTGGACAATTTATAATTCTATTGAAAACATCATCATAATTGATGAGAAATCTCTGTTAGAAAAAGATAAGCCATTTAATCATCTTTTAACTAGCGACTCAATATAAAGAAAAAAATAAAAAACAAAGAAACCCTCTAGATTGGTAAAGAGCAGGCAATTCGAAAACCCTCCTAATAAGCAAATCCTGAGAGACAGAAGGCTAGTAGTACACTCAAAGTCCACGACAGATTAGTTAAATAAAGATATGAAGCACTGCTAGGTTCTGAGCTTTGAGGTGGTGGTGCAGGACTCAAATTTGAAGCTGCTGGAGCAACTAAGACATCGATCTTTTGTCCTGCAAGGCAGTGACCAGGGTAACCACATACGAAGCATAAGTGGCCAAGTTTTTCAAGAGCGACTGTATCAGAGCCGTTGCTGTAAGTAGCTATTGGGGACGTTGCATTGCATGACTCGTAACGTTCGTGTGTAACTTGCTTCAAATTGTGAAATTGGTTGTTGTAATTGAAAACGAGAGTATCCCCAACGTGAAAATTCTTGTTGGCAGCCCATTCTTGGTAATCGATTTGACCCATGCTTGTCCACCCTGCAGATTCACCTACTTGGTAAACAGCAGCCATGGAAACTCCACCACAAAAGGCCATCATCAGAAAGAAAATCATCATCATACTTTTTTCAAAAGCCATGATCGAAAGACAGTGAACGGACGTGAGAAAGCTACTAAACAAGGAGAGAGCAATGAGAGAGATTACTAAATAAGATTTTTCAGGTACCCTCTATATATACCGGTGATCTAATCCGTATCGTGGAAGGATGGAGTTCCTCATTCATGTAATCCGAGTTACTGTAGGATAAGCATTGAAGAAGTAGAAACTGAATCCACTTCTTGTTGGGACTGTAACACGAAGCTAATATATTTTGAGCCCAATTGGGCTCCAGAATCCAGCAAAAGCCAGTCCTGAGTTCAGCCTGGGCCAGTCAATTTATTCTGAAATCTATATACTCAATTTTATCGATTTGATTTCAAATATTTTAAAAAATTCTCATGAATTGGATCAAATTGATGCATGTTTTCTTAAATTTGAGAAATTATACCCTTTCTCAAAAGGGGGTTTAGTTTCGAACCTCTCTTTGTAAATCAGAATAAAAAAGAAGACCGTTGTTATTAATTGTTATAGTTCCTAAATATTTTAAGTTTCAACAGGACCACTGCCAGCTTCTGAGAGGACATGTATTTCGACATCCATAAATTATTGCAGACTGTTAAATGTCTTGAATCTAGTGCTTCAGGACTCTGCTAGTGTTGTAGCCATCGAACAACCACACATCATGTTCACTTGCTCGGATTAGGAGCTTTGATGCCCTCATAACAGGGCTGCAAGATGGTGCCCTCGAAGTCACCACACTATCTTAGTATCTTCAATTCAAGTCTTGTCTCAATATAAGTGTTGGTATATATATATATATATATATATATATATAAAATCTCAAGCTTCAGATTTTTTTTTTCTAGAATTTTTAGGGATTTATTTTGATTCTGATGCTGATGTGTTTGTGATTTTTTTTTTTTTTTTGAGCTGATAATAATTTATACAAATTAATTTTTCTTTAAAAATAAAATTAATTGCACAAACTAATATAATAAAGCTGATAAAACTTTAATGTCAACTCATATTTCTCTCTTACTAGGTAATCTCTTTTTATCTTTCTTTTACTTTATTTTTCCTTATAAATTTTATTTAATACTCAATTTAGTACAAATTTTCAGATGAACTTAATCTATATTGTTTTTAGTGTCATTGAGATAGATCTTAAATTCATCTTTAGAATTTTGGTAATATATAAATTAGATTTTTTAGTTTTATCCATGCATCGTCCAGGGATGCTAATGGCCTATTTGTTATTATCATGGCTTCAAGCATTTGTGTTCCGATATTTTATTATACATCAGAGGAGGCTAGCTCTTCTAAATCATCCCAACTTCGACAGTAACTCTCTCCATAAACCATATAAAATGATTGCAAGAAGTTTGGCTTCTCGTAAGCAGGAAAAACCTATGGTGTTTAGCAGTGATACAGCTGTAATTTTTAACTCGTAAAGATGGCATTAGGCTCACATCCCCCACATCCTAAAAGTAACACTTTTCATTCTGTCATTGCTAATATTGACGCTGGGTTAACGTTTCCCCTTCCTAGAAGTAACACCTTTCATCATATTACTGGTTGATGGGAACTAGCTTACAAGTTTGTCCATTGAAAATTCATTTCAGGGTATGTCTGCTTTGGTGAAAGAAGAAACGGATCTTCTCAAGATTATTACTTCAGGTCTGTATTTGTCACTTGAAAATGCATCAACTAGTTTGGATCAGTCTGAAATCAGGACTGGCTTTAGCTACCTTCTTTTTTAGCCCATAATCACCTGTTGCAACACTAACTAAACCACGAATAGAGTTCGTATTACTACTTGTGGCCATCAAATCGATAACAAAACCATGGCTTTTTGAAGGACGATTACAAGTGCATGTGCTTTGTCATGGAAAGAAAGAAATCAGAACTCCTTCATGTGACAAATATATCTTTCATGTCAACTAAAAAGAAAGAGTACTGCCAGCCATTATCCTGGACAAATTATATTTCCATTGAAAACATCATCGTAATTGATGAGAAATCTCAATTAGAAAATGAAAAACCCATTTAATCATCTCTTAGCTAGCTGCTAGCTACTTAATATGAGGGGAAAAAAAAAAACAGAAACAGAAACAGAAAAACCCTCCAGATCGGTAAAAAGCAAGCAACTCGAAAACCTTCCTAATAAGAGACAGAAGGCTAGCAGTACACCCGAAGTCCAAGACATATTACTTAAATAAAGATGTGAAGCACTGCTACGTTCTGAGCTCTTAGGTGATGGAGCAGGACTCAGATTTGAAGCTGCTGAAGCAACTAAGATATCAATCTTTTGTCCTGAAAGGCAATGACCAGGGTAACCACATATGAAGTAAAAGTGGCCAAGTTTTTCAAGAGTGACTGTATCGGAGCCGTTGGTGTAAGTAGCTGCTGGGGACGTAGCATTGCATGATTCGTAACCTTGATGTGTAACTTGCTTCACGTTATGGAATTGATCGTTGTAATTGAAAACGAGAGTATAACCAACGTGAAAATTCTTGTTGGCAGCCCATTCTTGGTAATCAATTTGACCCATGCTTGTCCCCTGCAGAGTCCCCGACTTGGTAAACAGCAGCCGTGGAAACTCCACCACTAAAGGCCATCATTAGAAAGAAAATAATCGCCGCAATTTTCTCGAAAGCCATGATTGGAAGACAAGGAGAGAATGGACGTGAGAAAGCTGCTAAACAAGGAGAGAGCAATGAGAGAGATTGCTAAGATTTTCTTGAATGAGAAAAAAGGCCTCAGTTATCCCTGTATATATACTAGTGATCTAATCCGTATCGGGGAAGGATGGATTTTTTTATTTATGGAATCCGAATTTACTGAAGGATAAGCATTAAAGAAATAGGAATGAATCCACTTCTTGTTGGGATTTTAGCACGAAGCTAGCTAACATAGTTTGAGCCCAACTGGGCTGCAGAATCCATCAAAAACCAGTCCTGAATTCGCCTTGGGCCAATCAATTTAGTCTGAAATATATATGCTCAATTTTATCAATTTGATTTCAAATATTTTTTAAATTCTGATGGATTGGAACAAATTCATACATATTTTCTATTATTTTTCCTCATAAAATTTATCTTAAATTAATAGTTAGAATTTTTGTTATATATAAATTAGATTTTTTAGAGTTACCTGCGCAATGTATGGATCGAGAATTAAGCTAGTTTCTTTCTAAATTTATAAATAGGATTGAGTTATATAGTAGTACTGCAACACCTATTTGAGTATTTGAAATCTCTTTATTAGCGGACATGGCTTGAACCAGACCTGTTCTCTTGAATTATTTCCTCGTTTTCATGATCAAGGCCCCAAGGGAACAGAATGTTCTCTGTTTTTTGTCTCGAATATTTCTCTTGCGGCTATTATCCCTGTTTTGACAGAAAAACAGCGTCCGTATTCTTGCAACTTTCGATACTCAATGATAGATATGCGTCGACATTTAATTTGGAGTTTTAATTTTTTATGATATTAAAATGAAAATGGATAAAAAACTGAGAGGAAGAATAGCTTTTAATAAAGAATGATAGAAAGAGGTTGTTCCATCATAGAAAAGGTCATAAGAGGGTAAAAAAATAAAGAAGAAAAGACGACGGTGGCGGCACGGGACCGATTTTAGGTTTAAAAGATGAGTTTCAGCTAAATTAATATCTTGGGTTCCTTTAGGCCAATTTTTTTTTTTTTTCCATGTACTGCATATTGGACTTTTTTTTTTTTTTTGCCTCCTTAATGCCTTTTATGTGATCAATGAAATTAGTTTTAGAATTATTTTTGTACTTTTTTTTACTTAGTAAGGTTTTTAGTTTTCTTTTATTATAAACCAAAATTTAAAAGTAAATATTTCCTTCATTTTTCCAACCAATAACTCAATTATAACTTCTTCTTTTTCAATAATAATTTGAAAGCTAGCTTAAATTGGAATTTAATTTGTCATTAACACTTGTACATTAGTCATGAATAATGTTATTATCAGTAACAGAAATTAGTTTTAGAATTATTTTTATACTTTTTTTATTTAATATACTTGATAAGGTTTTTAGTTTTCACCAAAATTTAAAAGTAAATATTTCTTCCATTCTTCCAACCAATAACTCAATTACAACTTTTTTTGAATAATAATTTGAAAACTAGGGTAAATTGGAATTTAATTTGTCATTAATACTTATACATTAGTCACGATTAATGTTATTATTTGTTCAGTTATTACTAGATCTATAATTCAATTTTTATAATCAACATTTTTGAGAATTTATTTTCATAATATCCGAAGTTGTGTGTTGAAAAATGTCTCTTAAACACGTCTGAAAAGATTAGTCTTGAGGTGTACAAAAGCTAATTCGAGTATACCTTTATTGTTGAATATATATATATATAATGGTAATCTTTTTTAAGAGAACTTTTTGATATATTTAACTAAAAATGTTTTTTTTTTAATAAAACTATCAAATTAGCATGTAATATTGAAAATTGACAACGAATTGTTAAATGATTCATAAGAACAATAACCGTGATGATTGTTGTTCTTATTTTTAATCGTTAAAGTTTGTGATCCGCATTCGATCAATCTAGAAAGGAAATTTAGCTAGTCTTGAGAATAAATTATAAATTATCCTTCTATTTTGGAAAAATGAATTGATTAATCTTTTTTGTTTTGAAAACTAATTATTTATTTTTTTCATTTATTTTATGTTATTTTTCAATTTATTTTATTTTTTTATTTTAAAGAATAAAAAATAGATATTATGAAAAAAATCAATAAAAAATATTTTTTGAAATGAAATGAAATTAAATTAAATATAGTCTAAAAAATTAATTTTTAAAATAAAATGAATTAATTAATTTATTTTTTAAAACTAGAGGTGTTATCTCTCTCTCTCTCTATATATATATATATTTAAACATGGATTGACAGATGACAGGGTGATATGACAGCACAAGAAACCAGGAGAAATGGCCGCAGTTACAAGTTTAATTCATGAAGAAGTAAATGTATTTCTGCTTGAGGGCTACTCCACGTAATCAGTCTTAGCTTCGTCCGGGAAAGAATTCCATCCTATCCTGTATCTAAGACCTGGAAGGATCATTTTCTTTTTTAGCAAAAAAGTATCATTTATTTCAGGAGAAAATTATAAATTAATCTTTTTATTTTTTAAAATCAATTATTTAGTCTTTTGATCTTAATTTAATATTATTTTCTCTTTAAAAATATCATTTTTTGTCATCAATCCTTCCATATTATTTATTTTTTAAAACAAAAAATTAAAAATATAAAGATTCAATAATTAATTTTAAAATAAAAAGAATAATTGATTCATTTTTCGAATTCAAAGAAATTAATTTATAATTTCCCCTTCCCTTTCACATAACTGATTATTGTATAAAAAAATATCCCATGATGCATCCATTTTTATGGCTTCGCTCATGTGAAGGACTTGGTCTAAATAACATTACGTGTTTCCCAAATGAAGCATGTTCATTGCAGGCTGGTTAAAAAGTCAATAAAAACTAGACAATGAAGCTGATGTGCAACTACGTGGAATTATATCATCAAACAAAAAAATAAATAAATACTTTAATCAAACGATTATGACAACAAAGAAGTTCATGGCTTGATGCTCTGACAAAAATACGGAAACTGCACTGTAAATTCCTAGCTAATCTTCAATGATTTTCGTTGTTCAGAAAAAATTCTGAGAGATATTCTTTCTCCATTGATAATCTCACTTGTATATATATATATTCAACTTTTGAAGTGTGTCACAACTTTCTCTTTCACCTCCCTCTGCTTGCTTGTTTCTGTGCTTATTCAAGTTCATAAGCTTAACAACGATGTATAAAGTTGCTAGCCCGTCAGAGTATTTGGTGATAACCGGAATTGGCATTACAGACATAAAGCTAGCCAAAAAGGGATGGATTCTCCCCGGCCAATCGTGTACTGTCTTCGACGTTTCACCGGTCAACTACACATTCGAAGTGCAAGCTATGAGTGCAGAGAAACTCCCTTTTGTCCTTCCTGCTGTCTTCACCATTGGCCCTCGTGTGGATGATGAGCTGAGCCTTCTCAGATACGCGAAGCTCATATCTCCACACGACAAACTCTCTAACCATGTTAAAGAGCTTGTCCAGGGTATTATTGAAGGTGAAACTAGAGTCCTTGCTGCTTCCATGACCATGGAAGAGATTTTCAGAGGAACTAAAGATTTTAAACAAGAAGTTTTTGAGAAAGTTCAGCTTGAACTTAATCAGTTTGGACTGTTAATATATAATGCTAATGTTAAACAGCTTGTCGATGTTCCTGGGCATGAATATTTCTCTTACTTGGGTCAAAAGACTCAAATGGAGGCTGCAAATCAAGCTAAAGTTGACGTGGCAGAGGCGAAAATGAAGGGAGAGGTAGGATCAAAGCAGAGGGAGGGTCAGACACTACAAAATGCGGCAAAAATCGATGCGGAAACGAAGATAATATCGACACAGAGGCAAGGAGTTGGGAAAAAGGAGGAGGTTAAGGTGAAGACTGAGGTTAAGATTTATGAGAACCATAGAGAAGCAGAGGTGGCGGAGGCCAATGCTGATTTGGCAAAGAAGAAGGCCGGGTGGTCCAAAGAGGCGCAGGTGGCAGAGGTGGAAGCAGCGAAGGCTGTGTCACTGAGAGAGGCTGAATTGCAGACGGAGGTAGAGAGAATGAATGCTTTGACTAGGACTGAGAAGCTCAAGGCTGAGTTTCTGAGCAAGGCTAGCGTGGAGTATGAGACCAAGGTAATTTTTATTACCATATAATTTCTCTAAAGCTACTCTGTAACCGCAGGCTAAAAACTGATACTTCTTCTGTATTGACAAAATGTTTTTTTTTTTTAATTTAAAAAAGTTATTAATTATTACACCATATTATTATTTTTTTCATATATTTTTAAAATATTAAAATTATTAGTTACCAAATTTAATCCTTCATCATATGGAATTAATATTAATTTTAAAAAAATCTATCCAAAATTAAGATAATAAATTAAAGGAAACATTTTAAAATTAATTGATGAACAAATTTAAAATAATTATAGAAAAATAACATATTAATGTAAATATTTTACTCTTAAAATTTTGGCATTCTAGTCCATATAAAAAAGAATATTTTTTTATTTAATAAAAAAAAGTATGTTAAAAATATTTGTATGTATAAAGAAAAGGTATAAAGAATATTTATTTTTTGTTAGGGAAGAACATGAAATGAAAGAAAAAAAAATTAATCTTTTTTATTAGTTAGGAATATTTTAAGAAAATACATTATTTAAAATTTTTACAACTAAATATTTTAGAATATGTATAAACAAAAAAGAAGACAATCTACATTGACTGAAATGGAGAACAAGAAGAACCATATTCGATTTCCAACCCAATTTGTTGTACATAAAAGGTTCAAGAAGCAAATTGGGAGCTGTATAGGAAACAGAAAGCAGCAGAAGCAATTCTCTACGAAAAGGAGAAGGAGGCTGATGCACAGAAAGCATTAGCAAATGCAGCTTTTTACTCCCGGCAACAAGTTGCTGATGGAGAACTATACGCAAAGCAAAAGGAAGCTGAAGGACTCGTAGCCCTTGCACAAGCACAAGGAGTCTATCTTCGCACCCTTCTAGACGCATTAGGCGGCAATTATGCAGCATTAAGAGATTACTTAATGATTAATGGCGGCTTGTACCAAGAGATTGCTAAGATTAACGCTGGCGCAGTTCAAGGGCTGCAGCCGAAAATCAGCATTTGGAGTAACGGAAACAATGGTGAGATAAATGATGGAGGTGGGGCAGGCAATGCAATGAAGGAGGTTGCTGGGGTTTACAAGATGCTGCCACCGTTGTTTAAGACTGTTCAAGAGCAAACTGGAATGCTGCCACCGGCATGGATGGGCACATTAACCGACTCTAAGCCACTCTGATGTGAATTGAACCGGGCTTGCGGCGGAATGGTGAACTTTGTGATTTTGTTGCTTGTGTGTTTTGTCTCCAATGTTAGTGTGAGCATGTATGCATGTTTTTTTTTCTTTTTTAAGGATAATTAGTCATCAAGTATCCTGAATTATTGCTCAATAAAAGAAAAGTTTTTAATTTTTTTTATGAGTTTTATACATATTGCGACTCTATACGATTTGAATTTTTTCTATTGAGACCTTGATGTTTTTTCTATCCAAATTAAGAGTTTTATTATTATGTTGTTATTATTTCGGACCTTAATATCCCACGTAAGCACATGTGATAAGCTAACAAGCTCTAGTCAATGATAACTTATTACATATCATGGTGAGCTCAAATTGAATTATTGAATTGGTAACGTAACAAATCGTTATTAGTTAGAACTTGTAACTTGCCACGTGTGTTTATGTGACAAGTTGTCATTGACTAAGATTTGAAACAACAACAACATAAAGTATAACTCTTAAATTTGACTAAAAAAATTTAAGGTCTCAATAAAAAAAATTCAAATTGTATAGGGTCTCAATATTTGTAAAACTCTTTTTTTATTATTATTATTTAGATTCTCAATCCTTTTTTTGTCCGCAATTAAGCTTTTTGGTCTTATTAACCGATTTCGGGTCATATTGAAAATGCATGAGAGATGCATAGGATCATAAAACACATAAATATATCTAGTATTTAGAAATTTTAGGACGTATTTTGTTGTTTTAATGGTTTTAGGTATCTCTTATACTTGTCCGAAATAAGTAAATAAGATAAAAATAATAATAATTACAAATAAAAAAAGATATATATATATATATTTACCAATAATTCAAAATACTTTATAACCAATTAGATATTTTTTCTCTTCTGTTATCAAATGAACGTAAATCTTATAATTCCTTTCATTTCTTTGTATAAAGCTTGGTTTAATTCTAAACACAAGTTATAAAATGGGAAGTGGAGAAAATCTTGAATTATCAAATTTTGGCACTCTTCATCCTTGGTAACCTACTTTAGAGCTTAAACCCATTTTGTAAGTAGTTAAAGTAGTTTCTGACTTTAAATTGTTCTCTATTTAGTCTCTCACTATGATGTGCTCTATGCCCAATCGATGGAAAAAATGTGGTGTAGATCCTTTCCGACATAAAGCACAAATACCCTAACCTCGGCCTTGCTAAAAATCACTGTGGATGTAGCCAAGAGCAAGTAAAATCGGGTCAAAAATCCAGTTAAGGTCCAATTTTAAAAGCTGGGTCAAAAAGCTCGTTAAAATCCATTTTTAAAAGTTGTGTCGTCTCGTTAAATTTTAATTAGTTGTCAATTAGTTACAGTTAAATAGATATTAACATATTGACAAATCTTGAATTCGATTTTTAAATAAATTTTTATCAACATGTAAAATTAAATCTTAGAATCGTAGTTATTAAAAAAAATTAATTTTATTTTTAATGTGAATTAAAAATATTTAAAAAAAAACAGAATAGATATTAGTATTTTCTCTCTTTTAAAAAACTTTAATTTCGAAAAAGAGAGTAATTTTTTTAAATATATAATAAAGGTATTTATTTCAACTCAATTTTTTTCTCTTTTTAATTCACTCCTTAAATACAAAAAATCTACAATCTTAAATTTATACAGAGTTTGAATACGCTAGAATATTGATATTGGATTTCAATTTCCTCTTTAACTCTTCAAGTTCCACTTTTCTCTTCAATGATGAGCCAACTCAAAAAAAAAAAAAAAAAAAAAAAAAACTTCTGATTGATCCCAAAGGACCCAAATTATCATAAAGTTCACTCCACTATCCGGGACAAGGATCTCCTCCTCAAATGTGGGGATAAATTTCACCGTACTTGGAATAGAACTATGCCCCCCATTATCCAAACACAAACTTTTGGTGGAACCCACTCAATTCCAACTACTCCAATCCAGCTAATCATTTTCATACACGTGTCCTGCTGTTTTATTCGTGTCAGTCGTTTAGGCCCCATGGGAGTTTTCGCGCTCCCGTGCCACTGACCATCTTGGTGCCCCGTGAGAGCTCAGATGTTACAGTTATTTTAATTAGGCGAAGTATATTTTGATCCCGATAGTTTAAAGGATGTTGCAATTTGGTACTATAGTATAACATTTAACAATATCAATCTTGAGATTGTCGTATTATCGGAACTTCAGCCATTCCGCCCGATCAAGATTTTTTTTTTTTTTTTAAAAAGACATTTCGTAGCCTTATTGGATTGCAAGGAAAATTTTTATTTTATTTTACTTTTTATATCTAATGAAAAATATAGTTGATATATATATTTACTAAGAATAATTCTAAATCAAGATCACGATTTTTTTTTATATCCATGAAAGAATTTGATTTTTCTTATATTTATGAAAAAAATTGATTTTTATCTAAATCTAAATAAACGTAGCGTTTATAATTTATTTATATTGTTTTCTTTTTAAAAAAAGTCATTTATCTTTTTGTCTTTGCAAATTTAAAATCAAATGATATTTGTTAAATTCCATAAAATTTTCTCCGTTTAGCTTTCATTAAACTATTATTGTCCAAATTTCTCCATAATTGTAATGCTTAAAAAATCTGACAAATTAATAGATTTGTATTTCTTTATTTAATACATAAAAATACCCTATCTCTCCATCCCACAAACAAAGAGTCCAGTTATATTTTTTATTAAAAAAATAAGAAAAACTTTAAATATCAATCTATATATATTTGTTATTATTTTTACTACATTGTTTTTTTTAATTAAATATAGTTGAACATTAAAATATATAAATTTAATTTTTAATGAGGAATAAAGTAGTATAGTTAGGTGTTCAATTCTTTGTATTTTTTTTATAAGAGACATAGAATTTGTAACATTTTAAATTAAAAAAAAAAGATTTTTCGTGGGATGGAGGGAGCAATACACAAACAATGAGCCATCTGCAGATAAAAAAATTTTATTACAAAAACACCATATGTTAATACGTGTTGATTTATATGTCAAAATTTTCACTATTTTTTTATTATATTTAAATAAGTTATATTTTAATTAACAACAAGACTTAACTGAAAAAGGTCCAAGAATCAAAACAAAAACATCTTATTTTTATTTTATTTTTTCCTCTGTGGTAGAGAATAGTATTAGTAGAAGTGTTTGTCAAGAAAGTGGAAGAGCTGGAGAGCTCTTTACGAAAAAAACATGACACGTTAAATGGATTTAAAACTGTTATCTTGATATTGAGAAATTTAAACTAATTGCAACTGAAACGACTAGTTGTGCAAACTACAGGAATTAAGTTTACACTTTACCCTAGTCCCTTACGCCTTTACGCTCTTAAAAACCAAAGAAGAACACAGCTGTATTTCCAATCAACGGTTCAAAATCCTCCATCACAAAACTCCAATTCCAAATCCCAAAATCCAACAGCCCGTATTTACTCAAGCTGTCTAGTCAACTCTGCCTTGAAATAATAGCATATCAGATGCCATAATCACCTCCTTCCCTCCACCTCTCTTTCCTCTCTCTGTCGGAACCAAAGCCTCACTCTCTTTTTCTCTTTTTCAGTTCCTTTACTTGGAAAAAAAAAAAAAAAAAAAGAAACAAAGGAAGAAAAAGCCTCTCTCTTTCTGTCTGGCTTCTAATTTAGGGTTTAATCAGTTTGATTTTGATTTGCTCTTGCTAGAAACTTCCTTTAATGGAGGTTTGAGAGGACATTTTGGTAATTAAATACTGTCGAGAGGTGTTGTTGATGGTTTTGAGGGAGGGAAGTTAGGGTTTCGAGAGATGGATGACTCATCATGGCAAGTCAAACGTAGCTCTGCTACATTGCAGCAACCTTTAATGGCTTCTTCTTCTTCTTCAACTCCGCAAGAAGCTAGAAACCAGGTGAGGTTTTAGTAATGTGTGAGGGCTTTTTAGTCATTTTGTTGTTTAGGTTTGATGCATCGATGATTTCTTGCTTGTAACATTTCTGTTTTGCTGCCCTTTGTGTTTTTATGGTAGTCTGGTCGCTGCATTCTTTCAGTTTTTTTTTAGCTATTGAAATGTTTTTTTAATCTTAATTTCTTGTAAATAAATTTTCATTTTGTGAATGAATTTATATCTTGAAGAATATTACGTTTGGCATTTGCTATATTTTAGTGCCGAGAAAGAGAATTTTGAATTTGTTTGAAATTTTGCTAGTAGCATGCTTGGTTTGGAAAGTGGTCGCGGAGGTTTGGTGATGATACGGTTGAGTGTTATTCGGCAGAGGGTGAGTGTAAAAACAGTGTAAGGGAGAAGGAGGAGAGGGTTTTCTCGGGTGAGAGGTTTTGGAAATTGGAATGTTATTAACATTCAAATTGCAGAAAGAAAATTTGGTTGCATTATTGAATTGTGCGAACCCATTGTTTATGTTAATGTTAGTGGCTTCTGTGTTTATGTTTTTTACCTTTTAATTATTTGGAATGCGCATATGCATGACGTGATGCTTCTTTAACCGTTTCATTCAAGTTACTGAATGTTAGAAGGCATGGTTTTGATTATTGTTGGCTTTCTAATTTAAATTTTCTTTTTTGATTAGACGCAGATGGAGATTAACTCAGGTCAGTATTTTTATCCGCTTGTTGGACATGATTTGAGGTCACAAGGACATGGAAGGATGCTGGATTGTATGGTTTCCAATGTTTCCAATTTAAGTTCCCATTCAGGCAATGTTGACCTTGGAAATTCATTTCTGGCTCTCCTATCTGGCCCAGCATCGTTTTTGCCTTGTGATTTCCAGGAATTACCAAGTTCCCAACAAGTTGGTACATCTCATAGAGTTCCTACTGAAGTCAATAGTACAGCCTTTAGTGCTATTGGAAGTCGGTTCCCATTGACATCGGGTAGGATACCATCAGAAAATTTAAGCTATCAAAACCAGAGAAATGGAGCAGATCCAGTTGTTTCATCCAAGGCAGCATCTGCTTGCCATTCTGTTTTGCAACATGGTCCTCAGGCTGCTAACTTTGCTATCCAGAGTTCAGACCTGGCTAAGGCAGTCATCCATCACAAGATATCTGATATTGAGAAGGTAAAAGGTTCTTCTAATCTGAGAGGGGTATGGCGGAGTACTACCCCTGTGAATGATGTAAAGCTTCCGGATACTAACTGTAAAATGCCACAAAAATTGCCAACAGAAGCAGAGTTTTCTGTTTCTAAGAATTCATCTGCTTTTTCTCGTCAGCACCCTCGTGTATTTTGCTTGGGTAAAAGTAAGTGCTCGATACATGTTGCTTCTTGCTTTTAGTTCATTGATATTATGCTGCAGTCCTTCTCCTGGTATCTAATCTTGATCAACCTGAAAAGGTGGGGAGCTACTTCTGAGCAGTACAGGACTCCCAGGCATTCTTTGCTCATGTCATTGCTTCCACATGTCTGTATCCAAGTTTTGTGAGGTAATTTTTTTCAATCTTGTATGATTTTGATGTTTTGTTGGTAATGTTATGTATTGGCGTTTTACTCATCAACCACATTTTATAGCTTTTGGCATTTATTCCTGCTTTGATCTCAGTTGAATTGCTTGTATTTCACAGCATTCAGGATTATGGAATGTTAACCCTGGAACTGCTGTTCATATGGATAGTGGAGAGACCATTGCTCAGTGGCGTAAGCTATACTTCCAGAAATTTGGGGTAGGATGTTTATATTGCTTTTAATTCTTGTTTCTTGTGAAGAATTGATTTTGTGCTTAAATTGTCAATAAGCATGTGCCCTGTATCTGTTTGGACGTTTGCATGTGTATAAATGTGACAAAAAGCTAAAAAAAATTGAATGGTTCTAAACACAGAGAATTAGGCTTGTGCTTAACATTAATCTTACCAAGTTAGTGCATTTTTTCTGAATCTTATCTTCTTTTTAAATGTGTCAGTCACTTTGACCAATATACTGCATTGCAAGTTTGCAAAAATTGCCTTATTTGAGAATTTTGATGGTTGGTGTAGCTATAAAATCAATAACATTTAGTTATGAGTGTCAAAATTCTTTTTCTCCATATAGGAGCGTTCCTCTCCATGTGCTTACTGTTGATATTGAGTTTATTCCTCTTTACCAATGGAAAATTTCTTTAATGCCAATTTTTTTTTTTTTTTTCATATTTTTTTCTTGAAATGTTGCAATATCACCATAATTGCTCCTATTCATGTTGCCATATATAATAAGGACACAAGTGCTGGTTGGCTTCCCGAGATATTGTTGCCATTGAACCATAGTGTTTATTCTAACGTTGTAGCTTGTCATAGACTGGATGGTGATATTTCTTATTGGCATGTGTTTGAAGCAACGAGAACACTGGATGGTGATGTTTTTATGGTGCTTTAGATCAGGGTTCCAGAAGATCAGAGTGGGTGGGACTGGCCTGAAGGATTACCCTTGACTGCTAGTTTGGTGCAATCCAGTATACCACTTTCCCTGTCCAAGAATTCTGACTGCAATCATCTGGGTGGGTCTTCTGGAAGTTTAGTGAGGTGTGGACAGCCTATTGACGGTGTTGTTTTTTCAAAGAATCCCCTTACAGACAAGAACTCAAACGTGAATTCAGTTATTGATGCTTTAGACAAACAAAAGAGAAATGGTCAAGGTGGTAACAAATTTCTTGGGTTGGTCGGAACTTTGCAAAGCAATGTACATGGTGTGGGGTATAACGCACCACTTTCTGTGACAGATAGCACTATCTCTAGGTGTTCAACTATTCCTGCTTTTGTTGGCAAAGGACCAGAGAATGGTTGCCAGTCCATATCTGCATATATTGATAATATTTTGAAGAGTGGAAGTTTTTCAACTACCAATTCTGTGCTTCAAAATGCAAGAGCCCCCTTTAGATGTTCTGATGTCAGCAGAGCTAAAGATGAAAAGGACTGTGTAATTATAGACAAGGATACTGCTTCTTCCAGCATAGAGTTGAGGCTTGGGCAACCACATCAGCAGAGTCAGTCCTCAGGAATTCCATCTCTATCATCAGTGAGGCCACAATCATGCAACATTCTTGTGAATTCACAGAAGCCAATTTCCAGAGAGCAGATGATTCATTATGGTGTGTTGTTTCTACTTAGCTCATTCTCTATTATGTATGTGTTAGTTCATCACAGACATACATCACTTTTACCATTTTGGATGAGCAAACAATTAACTATTATTCACTGAATGATACAGTAACCAGTTGCGGGCGAGAAGAGGAATCCAGACAATGTCTTCCTTGTGTAGCTGGCCTGTCAAATTCCACAAGAGAACGAGAGCAGTTGAACTATGGACACTGTGCAATCAAGAATCTGATGGATGTTGGCAAACTAGAAAAATTTAAAGGCGACGTGGCTAAGAGCACAGTGTTTTCACCATTTAAACACTTTAATAGTTCACTTGAGGGTAACTCACACTCTGGATCTACTAATAATGTGTTCAATAGCACCGAGCAAAACATGCCTGAAACATTATGTAGGGAAACTCATGCTGTCAAGTACGCAGGTGATGACCCCTTGAATGGTGGAAATGGTTTAGAAAGGCAAAGGACTGACCCTGAGTTTGGTTTCTCTAGACCTAGAGACATGGGTAAAGGTGTGGGGTGTCTTACCGGCAACTCTTTCTATGAAACAAATTCTGTGCCAAAAATGCATAAGTGGAAGAAAAATCCAAGCTCTTCTGGAGTCATAAATGGAAACACTTGTGCTGGTTTTCCCACTATGCATGAAAAGGACCAACTTCCACATTACTTGTCTAGCTTACCACTGGATGCATCTGATGCTGGAAACTTGCCTACCTATCTTGATAAGGTTCCTTGTTTTGGTAGTATTGATCATGTCTTCCCTGGAGCATTGGGTTCATCCATGGGTTCTGGGCAAATTTTGCCATCACAAGCAGTTCCAATAGGTTTCCCGTCGTCTGCTTCAACTTCCATTTCAGGGCTGAATCCAGCCTTGTTGAAACAAGATGGAATTGGTTTAAGCCCTTATTTGCTTCACGATAATCTAAGAATGCTTGCATATAGGCAGATATTGGAATTATCCAAGCAACAGCATGAGATGTCTTCCCTTGGAAAGAACCACGAACTTGATAGACGTGTCAAACTACAGCATTCTCTTTTTGAACCATCAGCATCTGGATTACAAAGATGCGATACTAATTTTAACAGCAAACAGGATGATTTTGAAGTTCCCATGAAATCAACCCAATCTACTCTCACTGTTAAGATGGGTGATGATGTTGCTAAATGCACTCACGTGACAGGCAAGTGTATGGAACTTTGGTATACTATTCATGAAACATGTTTGTTTATCTGCCTATAAATCTTCATTCCTGCTGTAGTGTAGAAGTTTTTCTGCCGCGATGTGGATTCTTGATGCTAAAGAGCATTTTTGCTCATACAGGTTTGAACAACCGGTGCAATTTCTCAACATTGACAGCAGGAATGCCATTTTGTAGTAAAGAAATTGACAAGCAGTGTCAACTTCCTCACAGTCATCTTCAAAATGAACAGCCCTTGTGGAGGTTAGTTTTTATGTTATTGTCATAGGGATCAAAGTTGGAACAATTTTATTCTCCGAGATTGCCATTCATTTGAATATCAAGTTTTTTTATCATATCTCAACTTTTAATGTCTTTTTAGTTTTTAGCCTGATCCACAGATATTGCTCTCCCACATTTTGCTGTCTATATCGATGATATTTTGTTGTCAATTTTTAGCTAGCATTTCAACTGACCAGGTGAATCGAATATGTGATATGCAAGTTGTAAGGATCATTCCTAGGGTGTGATTGGTGGGTCTAGTGATTCACACATGTCAGTTCTGCTCTAATTAGCCTTTGTCTTGCTGCTCTTTTGCAATGACTTACTGGCTTGTTAATATATGCAGTGGGGATTTCACTTATATCTTTGATTTAATGTCAGAATACTAATTTTACTCTTATCCAAATGCTACAGACTTGGCAGGAATGAGCACAACATCTCAGATTCAAATGAGTATGAAAGTTGCTGTCAGATGACTCAGTATTTTCAAACTCACTGCAGCTGTGCAGCCCATACAAACTGTTTAGGAGGGAAATGCACAGGTGGTAATAATGCTAATTTCTTCAGAGAACCAATGAGAGGTGTTGGTGGAAAACTCCCTGCTTTGATGGCTTCACAAATTGTTAAAGATAACATCATTCCACATGAAAATACTATTTCCTTAGATCACTGTGGAAAAGTGAAGGGGCACGCACCTAAGAACATCAGTTGCACCTCTCAGTGGAAAGATGTGCCAAGCAAGATAAAAAATGTCAGCCAAGTGGCACGCATAGACCAATCAGTTGGCATCTTGGACAGAAGAGGACATGAATCAACTAATCTTGGAGACACTGCTGCTAGGTGCTATGGAGGAGCAGTGCACATGGCTGACTCCTTCAGAGAGCAAGAAACATCCAATATTTCTTCTGGATGTTCAACCCCTGCTGTTACTCAGGAATCAACTGAGGTTAACAATGTGGATACTTCAATTGTTGTTGCTGGGAATGCTAGCTGCATGAAACATCTTATAGTTGATGAAGGATCAGGCATTGATAAATGCTGCTCATCAGATGATGCTCTTGAAAGTGACAGAAGTGCCAACTTCTGTGGCTCTAGTTGCCCGACAAGACTGTGGAAAGACAGATCTTCTAAAGTCATTAACAATCAATCATCTCGTAGTCTTCTTGATGAGGTTAAGCTCATGGATTCTTTGACATGGAAGAGAGGCCGGAATCAAATCCAGGCTGAGATTACTGTTCTTGAGAAAACCAACCATCCACCCGAGTCTGATAGGGGATCCAAAACTGTGAAGAGGAAGAGAGAAATGAAACTGGATATGCTGGATGCATCACTAGGTGCTGCTGGTCATGCAGTGCAAGATAAATATCCTGAGTGTGATGAAACTGCTGATCAGCATTGTTTATCCAAAGATGTCCACATGGTTTCATCTGGCCAAGGAATGCCTTGCATTTCTCGTGTTTCCTCTATAAAACCTAGTTCCAATGAAAGGTCTATGCTGTTGCTGTCCAAACCACTTTCTTGTAAGAGAGATCTACAGAAACTCTATAATGGAAGGGACGGAGAGAATGATGACAGGACAGAAATAAGCAATACTGTCACCTCATGCAAAATTGAAGTTTCAGGAAGAAAGAAATTCAGAAAGAGAGGGACTTCTGATGGTTGCTCACAGTCTCAGACACTAGAACAAGCTTCTGCAGTTGGTGGAAAAACTATGAACTGTGATTCGGTGAGTTATATGAACGGATCGTTGAGTCAACAGGTGAGCGATTTTTACAGGAAGGCAAGGCCAGTGGTGTGTGGGAAGTATGGTGAAATATCTAATGGAGAAATGTTTGGAGATCTACCAAAGCCAGCTAAAATTGTTCCTCTTGATAGGATACTTAGAGCTGCCAAAAAATGCACTCCTCCCAAAAACAAAAAATCTAGAATAACTTCCACAAAGGAGTTGAAGAAGACAAGCTTTGGTGGGACTAATGAGTGCTTTAATAGATTCTCCAATATGAAGAAAGAAAATGAAGGCAATGATGCTTCAGGTTTTGATGAGATGAATTTTCACAATTCTGTCAGAGAGAGGGAGAACGCATCTGTTGGAGGGGACAAGCATTTTGCTGATGAGTTGTTGGTGTTAGGGACAAAGAGAGGCAGCAAAAGTGAGGGAGCTTGTGGTATTTTAGACGATAATGCTCACAGTCAGTCAAAGCTAAAGGTCAAGGAAATTCGTAGACGCAGCCTGAATGAGCTGACATCGAAAGGTAATTTTTTTTCTTCATCCCGTTCAAGTAATACACATTCCCGTCTATTCAATGGAAGTAATAAGTAGATTAGAAGTGAGAAAGATTGTGATCTACTCTTTGAAAATTAAGACTTGTATCAGATATTGCGATGGCTGTATGTTAGAATAGACAATCCAGCAGAGGTTCTTGTGAGCATGTATATTGGTGGGTATGCAATCCAGAGTTGCATTTTAGTCCATGATTGAGGGGTCCTATCATTGAACAGAATCTCCTTTTTTTGAAAAAAACCATTTGATCTTGTTCCTTTTCAGGAAAGAGTTCCTGCTCTGTAATGATGTCACATAATAGGATTTTGAAATGTGGACCAAAGATGAAAGATGGGAAAATTATAGAGAGTTCCGAAGATTCTAAATGTCACACACGTGGATCATTCAAAGTCAATGCCAAAAGGTGAGCAAGTAAATTGATACTCATGTATTGGTAAATCTAAACTTTCTTCTAGTCGATGCAGCTTCAGACTTTACTAGATTTTTAATTTGGGCCATTGCTTAGAAACTATAACTCTTCAATTTTTGAATTGGTTGGGGTTCAGAAATATTCAAGAGCAAGAGCACTTGTCTGTTATGGATTCAGATTCATTTTGCTGTGTCTGTGGAAGCTCAAATAAAGACGAAGTTAATTGCTTACTAGAGTGTGATCAATGTCTAATCAAAGTATGTAGCTGTTAGATTATTTCAGTTTAATTTCTTGTGTATTTCTCCTAATTATTCTATCACACTGATAAGTTTCTTGATAAGTAGGTACACCAGGCTTGCTATGGTGTTTCCAGAGTTCCTAAAGGTCATTGGTATTGCAGACCTTGCCGTGCTGGTGCAGAAAATACTGTAAGAAATTTGGTTCTGGGTTTAACATTAGTATTATCTTCTAGCCTAGTTCTCAAGTAACTTATCAGCTGCTCTTTTATGTGCATTGTCTTGTCTGATTAATTTATAAGTGTTTCATAAAATTCCTTATCAATGTGTATATAAAACTTGCCATTCTGTCCGAAGTTTGCCTTATCCTTGCCATGTTAACATTTTATGTTCATGTCAAATGAGGATTTGGCTATTGCCCACTTTCCCCTCTCAACCTTCTATTGTGAATAACCAGGAACCATGGTATAGTCCCTAGCTTTGTTTGTTAGTGCATGACATTAGAATTAGTGAAGTCTCAAGTTATTTTTGTCATGGGGTTCTGTATTCACCCACCCTGCTTTCACTAGCAAGTTTTATTGCTCATTGTGCGTTTATCAGTATTGTTCTTCTAAGTTGTATCTTTTGATTCTTTAATGCCTTTCTTATTTTGATTTTTCATAACCCAGGTTTGCGTGCTTTGTGGTTATGGTGGTGGGGCCTTGACTCAGGCACTTCGGGGTCGTGCAATAGTGAAAAGCCTTTTGAAAGCTTGGAGCTTCGGAACAGAATGCAGGCCTAAAAATTCAGATTCTTCTGCCATAACATTGCAGGATGAATTTAGCATGTTGCATTCCCCAGGATCTGCACTTGAAAATAACTCGTATCCGGTTTTAAGACCTAAAAATATTGAGCCATCCTCTTCGTCTGGTTGGAGTATCAATATGCAGAACCAATTGGATAGTTTACCAAATTCCTTGTCTTGTGTTAGTAATCCAAAGGTACATAACAGCATTACAGCTGGAGTACTTGATTCCGCTGTTAAGCAGTGGGTTCACATGGTTTGTGGCCTTTGGACTCCTGGGACACGATGCCCAAATGTTGATACCATGAGTGCTTTTGATGTGTCAGGTGCTTCATACCCTGGAGCAAGTACGGTAAGCATTGGAATTCAACTGATAGGATGTATGTTTAATAGCCTGCATCACGAAGTCACAACTGTTAGGATTCGTTGTACAGATAATTGAACACTTTTAACCATTTTTTTCCTCTGAGATTTAAATTTAAGCTCTTAAAAGTGCGATTTAACCCCATTACCTCCTTAGATAGAGTCCAAGGGATGCCATCATTAGTGGACTATAGTTGGAAGTTAACTGTTTGTTGATGAATCTCTTATGCAATTCATCCTACATTGCATACGATATGGCATCTTTCATTTAAATGCTTCTTGCTAGTAAGATTTCATAGATGATGATCTTGTGGTTTAATTATCCAAATCATAATTTTCTGTTGAAAAACTAAAAGGATTGAATTCAATGTAATAACAAGGTTATTGAATGAGCCAATGGATTAGTTAAGTTCCCTAGTTTATGAATACACTTTGCTTACCTGCATCTTCTTTTGTGTATGATTCAAGTTTATGTAGATTCATGATTGAAGAAATATAGGACTCCATGTGGAGGATTTCAAAAATTTCCACAAGATTCTATTTGTTTAAATTATAACATTCATGTATTAATTTCCATGTTTCTCATCCTTTCCTAGGTTTGCTCTATGTGTAATCGGCCAGGTGGCTCATGCATACAGTGCAGGGTTGTGAATTGCTCTGTTCAATTTCATCCATGGTGTGCTCATCAGAAGGTACTCAAGGGTCGTAGATTTATTTAGTTTAAGCATCCAAAATTATTGCCCATTATATATAATTGGCTAGGGTCGCGATCCTGCAGGGGTGAGCTGAACTCCAAAAACCCGTCCTCAGTTTGGATTACAGACTTGGTCCTGCTAGTGTTGCCTTTTTCCATCTCACATTTAGCTTTACACCCAATCAAAATTGCAATGAATTTAGCAATTTCCATATAAAACTGAATTGGCTCTGTTTTTGTGTCTTTGGATTTTCTATATGCTCCTTTAAATTTCTTTATTGACTGCAGGGCCTGTTGCAAAGTGAGGTTGAAGGGGTAGACAATGAAAATGTTGGCTTTTATGGGAGATGTGCACTTCATGCTATGCATGCAACAGGTGAATATTCATGTGATGCTGCCAACAATGAAGCGGGTTGTATAGGAGAAAAGGAAGAGATTTGTGCCAGGACTGAGGTATTTTCTTTTCTTCTTTTTTTCTTTTCTTCTTCTTTTTTTTTTTTTTTTTGTGGGGGTAGGTGGGTGTTTCATAGGACTCTTTTGACTCTGCCAAATGACATTTTTTCTGCCTTCCGTACAAGGGCTATAAGGGACGGAAACGAGATGGCTTTTGGCATGGTATTCATGGTCAATCAAAAGGGAATGGTGGATGCCTTGTTCCTCAGGAGCAGTTTAATGCTTGGATGCACATTAATGGACAGAAGTCACACACTGGGCTTTCTAAGTTGCCTCTGTCAGATGTGGAGCATGATTGTCGGGTATGTTCTATCTGCTAACCACTTAACATTCTATTTTGGTTTCAATTATTTCACCTAAAAAATGTTACCGCATTAACATTCAGTTGGCATTTGGATCAAAACTGATTCATTCAGTTATCAAACTTATGTTCAGTTGACATTTGGATCAAAACTGATTCATTCTGTTATCAAACTTGTGTTGTTTCTTTCAATGATAAGCATGCAAGGCTCAGAAAATAGTATATATGAGAGATACAAAGCGGTTGGAGTCTCTGAGCTATTTGCAACTGAGGATGTACACAAGATATTCTTCCACACAAAGGAGTTGTGGGGCTGAGCATGATCTTGCTGATTTTTTATTTTTCTCCAATCTAAGTGTATCATGTTATTTTGTTAAACATATATGATTTTTGCATTATGGCAGTGCTAAGAATCTTGTGTTCAATGAGTTTGCCCATGTCTACTTACCCCTTTCGCATTTGCATCACTAGGAATTATTCAATGGCCATTCTCTAGTTATCTTCCTTGCTTTCTCTATTCTACATCTGCTCTTCTTTTCTTTTCTTTTTTACTTGCTAATGGATCTTATGGCATTTGGAGTTCTGTAACATTATTAGATTATTGTAGTGCAATACATGTGATCTTATACCTTTATCCTCATGCTTGCAGAAAGAATATGCTCGTTATAAACAAGCTAAGGGTTGGAAATATTTGGTTGTTTACAAGTCTGGCATCCATGCCCTTGGACTTTACACATCCCGATTCATCCATCGTGGTGAAATGGTTTGGCCCTTTATCCTAAAGTAATGGAAACCCACTCTCTCAGTTGCACAATATGATGTATTCTGATTACTTTTAGGTGGTCGAGTATGTGGGTGAGATTGTTGGGCAACGCGTGGCTGATAGAAGAGAGAACGATTATGGAAGAAAGCTGCAATACAAGAGTGCTTGCTACTTCTTCAGGATTGACAAAGAGCATATAATTGATGCAACTCGGAAAGGTGGCATTGCTCGTTTTGTCAATCATTCATGTCTGGTAATTATATAGTTTTTGGGTTTTTTTTTTTTTTTTTTGGTGTTTTACTATCATTAGCTTCTTATATATGTATATTTTTTAAATTTGCATGACCAGCCAAATTGCGTTGCCAAAGTGATTTCTGTGAGGAATGAAAAGAAGGTAATGCAAAATGCTGTTCTAGTATCTTTCTCCAAGATCATTATTTACTTGTACTTGCTTGGACAACCGAAGTGATTCTGAAGTGCAAAATGAACTTAGCCACTTTCATCCAAATCATACATTGTAAATTCATTATATTGTGTTAAAAAAGAAAAAAGTTTGGTATTATTTAGAGCACAAGCTTCACTATTGATTTTGGATTTGTAGGTTGTTTTTTTGCTGAGAGAGACATATATCCTGGAGAAGAGATAACATATGACTACCATTTTAACAATGAAGATGAAGGTAAGAAGATCCCTTGTTTTTGCAATTCAAAAAATTGCAGACGATATTTGAATTAATAATCAATTCTTCTTGTAAATACAACATTTTTCAAACCCCTTGGATTAAATCAGCTGTTAATATCTAGCATCTCGACATGAACTATGATCAGGATTATGCCCTGAAATTTTGGTGTACATATAGTTTAGTAATTATTCTACTAACAGACCAATTAATGTATACTTGTCCCAATGATATATTTTTTAATTATTATTAGTAACTTGTGTTTGTGTAATTAAAGCTTGCGTAGAAAGCATTACTATCGAGTGGTGGTCATGTTGAAAATCTCCATAAAAGCATATTACGCTATGATATGCCTGGAGAGCAAGACTTATCCTACTTGGACAGAGCATGACTTGGTGTAAGTCTAGCTGCTGCAAAGTTGGATGATGTGGAATTTTAGGGTTTTCGAATACTGAAAGCACCGTTGTTTTTTATTGTTTGGTTCTTTGAGAAGCCAATGGATCTCGAGCTACACTAGTGGCAGTCCTCTATTTTTAGATCTCACCCCATCCTCTTATAGAACTTTTACATTTATACAAATAGTGGCAGTCCTGCACGGCAAGTGAGAGCTCGGAACGTGTTGCATTTGAAGGGCCAACATTGTTTTATCTCATTTTCAGGCGTTGCTACCACCTTTTAAACTCTTTCTTATAAACTTCCAAGCTTTTGATTTTGTTTTTCCAATTTCAGTCTTCTCAACCTGGCTCCTGTAAGCTAATCAAATACATGCTTGAAGGTCAGCTATGATATGCATGGTCCCTAATTCTTAGTGGTAGGAAAACCATTGACCATTCTCGATGTATAAATGGTAATTGAGCACATAGTCAGCTTTAACATTTATTGTGCCAGTGACCCATCAAGAATGCCCTTGGTACTCGTTGGCTTCTGTTCTGTAAATGTAATCCAGGATTGGTCAGCCTTAGAACAACATTATTAATTGGCTAAATGGTTCAGACATCCCTTGAATTTTAAGTCATTTGAGAATTGATTTCTGAACTTTCAATTTTGAGTTGAATTTTTCTCCAATCATTTTATGTGAAATTAGATTTTTTTACTGAGTTTTTATCAATTTTAATATATAAATGTAATTCTAGAACGGTTAAAAATATTTTTTCCCTTCTAAATACTAAAACATAAGCAATTAAGTAACATTTTAAAAGAAAAGAAATAAGTTTTGACAATTAAATAACATTTTATAAGGAAAGAAACAAGTTTGGGGAAAAAAAAAGGCAAAACATTTATAAATTTTGACATACTTTTAGAATTGTCAAAAATTGTTAATTCTTGTTTACATGCGAGAAGACTGTCCTCTGTTTAAAGGTACATGCCTGTAACAGCATACATAGCTCAACACAATCAAGCACAAAAGAAGAGAAGGCTCGTGCGTCTCAACATTTAGGAATACTCGAGCAATCGGATATGCGTAGTAAGACACTGTTGGAAGAAACTGTAAGTTGTGTACATCAGCCATTAATGGCCGTCTGATCCGAAATCACAATTCCAACTTAAAGATGGGTTTATTCATGTCAGTTACGATACAGTAAATAGAGGATGCTTATTTCTCACAATTTAGTACCATTGCCAGCCAGTATATTGCAGTTTCCAGACTTCCAACGATTACCGAGGCTTGCATGGGATTCAAATTGATGTAGAACATACATGCAAATCTCCACAACCCTTTCACATGTCATCTAAAAGTATACAAAGGGCAAACTAGCATCAAGCAGCAAACCCAGATTTCCTTGAAAGTTTCCGACAAAATCTTCCCTTTATGATCCCCAATTTGGAATGTTTGCAGTAGCTTCATTCACCATTTTCACCAGAGTAACCTGCCATGTTAAATTTGCTTATAAGACAAGAAAGAGAGCTGACAGCGGAGCATCATTTTACACCTAAGCTCCGATCTTAGAGCTTAGTAGATGGTGATTTCTTTCCGCTATAATAAACGGGATTATCCAATGCAAAACAAAAATCCGATATTCCTAAGGAAGCTTTTTGAATAACACGTCTCAATTTTTCATTTTGTGGGTATACAAATTGCAAAAAGAGTTCCCTACAGGCTACAGCACTATGCCCAAATGGGTGAAGAGAACCTGCAATTAGTCTAAACTTGATTGCTATACCTAAAGCTGACCGTTGTTTAAGCTTAATTTCGACACATACAACAATTTAATTTACATTTTCAATAACCCCATTTGACTTTTCAACACAACCAAGATATTAATTACCTAGCAGTTTTCCCCGCTCCCCTCAGGCCTCAGGGTGGCAATGCTACTTTACCAAAAACTGGAAATAGCTCTTTAATCCAGCACTAAATATGATACTTGATGGGGACTAAATTTATTTTGCACGGGTATGCTCCCAGCAAGTTGCTGTCCCCACTTAAGATGTTTTGTTGCATAAATTACCCATGCTATACTTAATGGTAAAAGTAGCGAAATCCAGACTTTTGGGCAGAATTAGTTTCCCACGTAGAAATAAGAGGAAAATGAGTAAATTGTTGGTAGAATTTTAGTGCATGTTAATCATGCAGCAACATGTTTGGACTATAAGGTGAGATGAAACATACCACACTCTCTGGAACACCTGGCGGAGGCAAGGGAAGGTTTTTGGGGGTGCCACAGTATCATAAGATCTTTTGTCAAACCTCCATTCTCCAATCTTTCCATAGGTTAATTTACCCTGCAAAAAGAGAAATAAAATAAAAATAAAAATTGTTAACCAACTTTAATAATAGCACAAGAATAAATGGCAAAAAAATCAAGAACTCAGAAGTTGTTTCTCTTTATCTTTTCTTCATCCTTGAAGAGCATAGAGCACAAAACTGTATCAGTTCATCGACAGTAGACTACCTTCATATCATAGTCACATCCGTAAGTGTAATGAATTATGAACTTTTTGCCAATTTCTGTATCCCAAGGAGGCTGTCAAATGGAAAATGGGTAACTATGAGTAAAAAGCAATCCATAAAATTTGAAATATGGGAAAATGGCACATCATTATGATGTTGGGAAAAGAGAGATTTAGCAATGAACACAAAGTAGCTTAAGGAAATGTTCTACACTTTTCAGACTGATGTATGACAAAGTCAGAAAATGCTATTTTAATTAAACCTGAATCATTAAGTCCTTGTACAGGATGTTACCAACACCATGTAGAGCAGATGATACAGCATAAGCATACCTGTATTTATCAAAGAATAAGGGAAACATAAAAGGTCAATTGCCTACTAAAAGGTATTCACAAATATATTCTTAACCACAAAAATCTCACATTTCAAGCACCCAGCCAAAAGCTTTATCTGTTTCAGGATCCTTTTTCATTGCCAAGGAGACATTCATCCAAGTGGGAGCAATCTTCTTAAGAGATTCCTAACAATGTTGCACAAAAATCAAGAAAAGGCCAAGAAACAGAAGAATAATACATAGTCAGAGAGCGCATATTAAAATACAAACCTTCCCAATGATGACAGGAGAATTTCCTATGGGGTCGATGTTTGTTATAGGTCCCTTATCCTCAGGAAAGTACTTGCGGAGGACAGACTCATACTTTTTAGGCTCAATGTAAAAGAAAGGAAATGCAGCTCCAAGGCCATCTTTAGATAGGTTTGGAATAGGCTTAACAATAATATGGTCTGGCTCTGCCATCAGTATGTAACTGAGTACAAAGTAAAATAGCAGAGACAAAGTCAAATCTACAGAAATAAAGATCAACTTGTCACAGAAGCTGGGAAATTTAATGTTTCATACTCTTCTTTTATGTCTGCCTTCTGAAGCCATTGCACAAATGCCCAAGGTCTGTTGAGAACTATATAGCCCTGTGATTGTAAGACTCGAGATAAGCAAATAATGGAAATTCAACCAATAAGAGCACTGACAACAATGAAAATCTTAAGATACAACCGGTCATTGAAGCATGAAGGAGTGAAAACATCATTGGGATCTCATGTTTGGGTATTCAATTTCGTTTCTTATTTTCTTTTTGGCTGAATGATTTTTTCATTTCCAAAACGAAGTCAGCAAGTCATCTGCTTTGAGTCAAGTCTCTTTACAATCAGCGGCATCTACTATAACACTATCGACCAACTTATATCAAGACAAAATGCACTAACTCCTTACAGTATCAATCAATTTATACCTAAACAAAAAGAGTGCCAGCAATTCACTATGGCCTCGTGAAACTCCACCCTCCCTATAATTCTTCAACGCCTAATTTAACTAGAGAACAAATACGTATACCTAGTCTAATTTGAACTTCAAATGATGAGATGCACCAAACTTTTAGCATTAAGATTAATTCCTCTGTGTCACCTGTCATTCCTCTCCCTCCAAACAAAGCAAATACAAGCACACACCAACAAAGTCTCATAATAAAGCTGACTCGAAACTACTCTATATCAATTTAAAATATTCCCAAAACAAGTCAACACAAAAGCCAAATTTAGTTCTGAATCATGAAAATATCCAATAATCAAAACTCTAACACAAGCTCTTTTCCTACATTTCTTCAGCAACCAAGCTCATAAGCAGCCTTAGCCTTACCTAAGGCTTTCAAATTACCAATAGACTGTGATTTCTCATAAACTTAACATTCTCAAAACTCAGTTAAACATGTTCAAAACTTTAACTAATTCTCAAAGTCAAATGCCTTTAACAAAATCTAAAAGTCCACCACATAAATCAAGAAACAAGAACAAAACCTGATCCATCCCAGAAGGCAAGGGCTGTGCTATAAAAGTTGGGATTTCCTCCATAAACTGATCAGGCTTTCCAGAATGCAAGATCCTAGTGAACCCTCCCATTTCACTATTGGGTCCATCTTTATGCTTCTTGTACCAATAATACATAACCCTACACTGCCAAGTATTATACACAGAATCAGAAGCTGTCACAGCTGTATGAAACAGTCTCTTTTTACCAAAGCTTGATTTTCCTGATCTTTCTACTGGCATCTTGATTATTGGGTCAACTGAAAGTGATGATCTTGAAGATGGACCTGGTAGGTCTTGCTTAAGTGGTGTATTTGCTGATATAAGGATGTTGTATGTTATAAGGGCTACTGAGAAGGTTACTAGTAGCGTAAAGAAGAAATCCCCACACCCCATTTTTTGTCTCCCTCTCTAAAACACACTTTCTCTCTCTATACACACTTTCTCTCTATGTTATATAGGTGTCTACGGCTGCTCGAAACGGAAGGGAAGGAAGAGGTAGCTGTAAAAGAAAAGTCTTCTTGGGAGCAGTTGAGCTGTGAGGGAAGCCGCTGACAGGCGGAGCTGTCGCTGTTGAGATAAATTCTTTTTTTTAAGGAAACCTCCATTTAGCCCTATGTATACCTTATTATCAATTGAGTCTCGAACTTCTTGATTTTATCAGTTTTGTCTCAAATGTAATCACATTAGACAATATCACCTCTTCATTTATCTTTTGTTAGCCATACTTGAAATACCTCATCCAATTTAAACATTTTCGTTAAGTATTTTCGTCTAAAATATTAAAATAATTTTAGCATCAAATTATAATAAATTTTCAATTTATATAAGTTCGTGAAGTAATGAAAAAAATGCAAGGATTCAACATCAAAATTGTTTTTTAAAACAAATTAGTTTTGGCATTGACACTTTAAATGAAAAAAATGGACGAACAAATGTAAAGTAGATAAAATATTTATATAAATTGGATGAAAATTTTTTAATTGTTATTAAAATTTAATCAATGAAGGAGTGATATTGTCAAACTTCAATTAAATTTATAAAAAAATTGATAATAAAAAGGTTTTATACTCAATTGATAATAGAATAATACCTTAAGGACTAAATTGTAATTTCCTTTTCTTTTTCCTTGCGTAAACGACATGTCAGTTACCAGTTGAGCAATGGCTGTTTGCGCGAGAAAGAATCCAATCGCGATTCCTGCCATCTGGGATTTTTTGTCCCCATCTAATTCGTGTTTATATCCCAAACGGAAGCAATCACAACTTCGCCTTGAATTTAATTTAAATTTTTGTAATTGAATTACATAAACGTAAGTATTTCACTTAATTTTTGGAACAAAAAGGGCAGCAAAGAATTCCCTTCTGATATTTATGCTTACGGCTTGATGACTCTAACATGGATGAAAACAAGCTTAGCAGATTACCCTGAAAATAGAAAGCTTGCACCGTTCAGTCAATGTATTGAAAGGATGGTTTGTCCCTTAAGGTTACCTTTTCATTTTCAATTATCTCTTCTTTTATATGGGTGAAAATTTCATTGATCAAATAAGCAAAAGAGCATGAGGGTTTAGATCCTACAACGAAACCAAATTGAAGAAAAACTCAGTGTAGGCTGAACAAATTGAATGAATTTGATTGGCATTGATGTTTATGCTTCAAGATGAACCGAAACCGAAAGGCAAAGGAAGATGACAAGATCACAATGCCAGTAAAAGAATTAGCAAAAATAAAGCAGAAACACGATAAGCAATCATATGATACAAGAAATCACATAATATGAGATTTATGTGATTTGATAATTGTGTTTACTATATCACTGGATTAAGAGTTTTTGTTAGATTTAGATCAACTATAAATACAAAAACGATATAACTAAATTCATCAATCAACTAGTTATTCCCATCACTTTTTTCTATATAATTACCAATATAACCTCTACTAATACTTATTATATAATAGTTATTAGCAATTGATAAAATGTGTATTGGTAATTGTTTAGAAAAAATGGTGAGAATAACAATTTTATTGGTGAATTTAGAAATATCTATGCAAAAAATATTGTCTATATTTACAGCGTCGACAAATAGAGTTATTAAAAAAAATAAGCATCGACTCAATACATTGTAGATCTTTCATAAACTACGTTCTTTAATCTCCTCAAAGAACGTTGCTCTCTTGACTCACGAGTTAATTTTATATAATATATTAAATTATAAATTACGTTCATATTAGTCTCCACAAATCCACACGCAATTTATTTTTCTTTTTTGAGATTTGAGTATTTAACTTATTAGAATATTAATTGAAATGCAAAAACTAAATCAAGAAGAACAAAACTATATAAAAAAGATAGCTAATATATATATATATATATATATATATATATATATATATATATAAGTTCAACGGACCTATATACTTGGTTTAATATTTTATAGACTTTTCGAAAGCTACACTCTCGAGCCTATGCAAAGAATGCTACCTTCTTAACCTTAACTAATGAGATTGTCATGCTAACTTTACATTGCTCGCTTTGCAGACAGTGTTTACACACACATATATAAATTGAATTCAATTTTTCAAATCCATTATCAGGAATAAGTTAATGTGTGAGAAAATAGAATTAATTAATTGATGATTTACAGGTTGTCATGCTCTAATAAAAGTGCAGTATTTTAATGACTTAGATACTTAGTTAATAATTTGGAGAGAGAACATTTGCATTTTCACAGCAAGAAAAGGTGGTATTAATTAACTTTAATAAAGTTGTTATACAATGATTGTGCAGTTTAGAGAAGCAAAATATTTCTTCTAGTTCATTCTCTCCATGCATATATATATATATATATAACTTTAGTTGTTTATATTATAAATAAAAAAAATTATTTATTTCTGTAATCGTCATTCGATAAAATCTAATAAAAAATACTAAATGTGGAATAGATATTATTGCGTAACCATGTAAAATCTTTTTTATTGTATGATTGTTTTTATCTTTTTATTTTATTTTTAAGTAACACACATATAAGGCCCACGTCGGATGCCTAGAGCCCAATGATCCAATGACCCATTTATCTGGACTAGCTGCTTTTTTCTTTTTCGAACCTGTACTGAGCTGTCAGGCAGGAAGGCTGAGAAGCATTGAAATCGAGTAAATTATAAACTAGTCCCTTTATTTTCAAGAAGCGAATTAATTATTTTTTTATTTTAAAATTTTAATTTTTTAACAGCATTAATCATTTTTAATTCGCCATTTTTTCTCATTAATTATTTCTTATTTTTATTTAACTTTTTACTTTCTATCTCTTAAATCAAAAAATTAAAAAAAGTAAAAATGATTAATTTACAAGAAAATTTAAAAATATAAGGTGAGATTAGATTTTGAAACAAAAAGTATTCATTAATTTATTTCTCAAAAATTAGAAGGACTAATTTATAACTTACTCCATTGAAAGTCAAAAAAAAAAAAAAAAAGCCGGAAATTGTGGTCCTTAAAAAATGTTCAGTTTGAAGGAAAAAAGGGACGACAAAGGTCGTAATTTTTTGGGAAACTAACCATTTTCAGGGCCCAACCAGTTGTTTTCCATTTTCATCATTTCACACCATAATCCACAAATCCTCCCTCCTCCTCCTCCGCCTCTTCCACATTCCTACTCAAACTCACCGAATAATCATTTTTTCTTTTTTTTATTTACCCTTCAAGATATTCCAAATCTACAAACTCAAACTATTTTTTTTATCAATATTATATTAAATGTATAAGATAAAAACAACTGTATAGAAAGTATTTTACATACACAGATGACAAAACCTCAAATTTGAGACTATTTATTTAAATAATTAAATTTTTTTTTACTTAAATCAATCCTCTGCAATGTACTTTCCCTATGAACAAATTGTTTCAAAGCACCATCCCAAGGATGATTATTATTTTTATTTTTGGTTTTCTGTTTTAGGGGTGATTCAATGGTGTGCTTAAAGTTTTCAAAAAGCTCATTTTAGCCCTGATTAGTTTTAGTTCTTAAAAATTTATCCTCTTTGTTTTTTAGACATTTGTCCCTGTATTTCATGAAATTTTCTCTTTACCTTCTTTATCTTTGAACCCTTCCTCCCTACCGCCCTTTGGTAGAAACCATCTTTCTTGCTAACTTTCTCAAAAGGACAAAAAAAAGCAATGCAACTTTATTGTTTCGGTATTGGAGAACAGAACATTCATCATTGACATTTTTTTTTGTTTGAACAGAGTCATCATGGACATTTCCTATGGAAAGTGTTAAAGATCATATACAATAATGAAAGAGTAAATTATAAATTAGTTTCTTTAGTTTTGTAAAACAAATTAAGTTTTTTTCTTATTTTAAAAACTAATTAGTTAATTCATATTTATTAGAGTTAATTTAATATTATTTTTTCTAAAAATGTTTTATTGTGATGTTATCTTATCAATTTTATTTTATTTTTTAAAGTAAAAAATAAAATAAATTTTAAAAAGGAAAATAATTTAAGTTATAAATAAATTTAAAAATATAAAAATTAATTAATTAATTTAAAAAACTAAAAAAATTATTTAATTCATTTCAAAAGGCTAGATAAAATAATTTATAATTTACTCAATAATGAACTTATAATTACCATTACGATACACTGACATTGAGTAATATTATATTAAAAAATCATGAATAAGTTTTTAAGAAATTGAAATTTTTTCTCACAGTTTTTTTTTTGTTAAATATCATTTTTCTTCAACAAATTACAAATTTTCGTGAAATTCAAATTACTTATTTTTGTCAAAAAAACAGTCTTCCTCTCTTTCCTTTTTTTTTTTTCTTTCTTTCTTTCTTTCTTTGATAAAACTTCCAAAATGGTTATATATCCAATGGTAAAGCAACCAGTAGAGTTTCTCTGTCTCTCTCTGAAAGCTTACATCAAAAACCATCAAAGAACTCTTTAAAGAAAAACAGAGAACCTCTTTCATTCTCTCTCTCTCTCTCTCTCTCTCTCTCTGTCATGATGTTATGTCACAGATTACTGTCATTTACTCTTCTTCTGGTCACCTTTGTCCTCTTTATTTCTTCAGCATTCATTCCCTTCTCACATGGTGTTTCTGTTCCCTTTCATTCCTTCTCTGCTCTACCCCCTGCTGGTATACTTCTACTCTTTTAACTTTTCTGTCGAGTTTCACTGTTCCTCAACATCTGTTTGGTTTCTGAGAAAATGTAGGAAACAAAAGGAGGACAGTGTGCACACATTTTTATGTGACCCCACTAAAATGTGCATGTTGAAACTTTTTGACTTAATTAATGCAAGTTCTCATGTTTCTTGGAAGTCCAAACTAACATATTTATCTTTGCAAAATCTCATTTTTCAGAATCTTCTCAGCTACCAAGCAGAAAA